CTCTGCAACTGGGGGCTGGGGGGACATTGATGCTTGAAAGGGGGGGCTTGGGCTTTTTCGGGAAAGTACGGGGGCCCCCCCCCCCCCCCCTTAAGATCTGCGAGCAGATCTGGAGATCTGAAGGCTCACAGTGACATGCTGACCTGATTGGTACCGAATAGGCGAAGACAACCCTTGCCCTTCCTCCATGTTGTGTGCGGACATTGCTGGAGCCGCCAACGGCATTACGGGGCGTACCTGCTCATGTGGGCCGGGGACGCAGGTCACGTCCAATGGAGCTTCGTGCAAGGACATTGATGCCTGTGCCGGTTACCCCTGCCCTGGCGATGCGACGTGTACCGACGTCTTGGGTGGCCCCAACTCGACTTTGGGCCGCACGTGTGCGTGTCCGCCCGGGTATCAGTTCAACAGCGGCTCCTCGGCCTGCGTGTAAGTCTGCGAGTTTGCTTTGAATCGTCCTTCCGCCCATTGCCCAACTGGTCGTGACCGTATTTGCGCATGGCGTGTTGATCTTATGGTTTTCAAAGGCTTCTTTTGACCCTGCTCACCTTTACATTTACCGTGGCGCGCAATGCATTGTGTTGTTGGCGACGATAGGAACATTGATACGTGTGTCACGCATCCTTGCGACGAACATGCATCCTGCCGCGACTACATTGGTGGTGTGGATGATGATGATGATGGTGGCAACAATAACAACAACAATGGCAATGATGACGACGATGGTGGCAACAATAACAACAACAATAACAATAACAACAACAACAACAACAACAACAATAACGACGATGATGCGGATGATGATGAGTCAGGCAGCTCGCAGGCTTCTGCATCTGGTGGCAGCTCGAGTGGTGACAACGAGGAGTTGCTGACTGTCGCCATGGGAGTGGTGGGCGGTTGTGTCATCCTCGTTATCATTGTTGGCCTCGTTGTGTTGCGTCGTCGCCAGTACGTGGGCTATCAGCAGTTTCGCCCAGACATGATGAGCTCTGGCCCCATGGTATGTGTCGACCAGGGACATCCGCACACACAGACACACGCCCTTTTTTGAACACAGCGCGATCAAGTTGTTTAAACTCATATCCTGTTGCCCATCCATCTCCGTGGTCTGTCTCTTCCCTGCACAGATGGGCCACCAACATCGCCAACCCACCATGAACCGTGGTTATGCTCCTCGCAAGCCCGTAGTGCAGACCTCTATGGAAAACCCGCTTTGTGAGTCTTGCACCCCTTTGCATATTGCACTGTACTCGTTTTTGTTGCGCAGTATTTTGGATCAGTGGGCTGAATGGGGCTCATTTTGCTTGCTGGACGTTTGCCTTTCAGATGAAGCACCTCCCTCCAAGGACGCCGAGTATGGCTTTGCCGATGCTGGGGAGGACAATGCCACCGAGGAGTGTACGTGTCAGCACGCGCTGAATCTCAACTCTCTCTCTCTCTCTCTCTGTGTAGTTGCGTGTGCGCTTTTTGGTTTCGGCCAAACTCACGAGACCATCTTCTTGGTTTGACACCTTTTAGATCTTGAAGTCAATGAGCAGGACGAGCCGTAGATGTGTCCTGACTCGTTGGGGCTCCTGCTGCAGGCGGATGAAAAATTTGTTAACTTCTCAAACTTGTCTCTTTTTTGTTTTTGGTGTTCCTCCTTGTTGGAACTGCTTTCGAGGTATTCCCTGGTGCTTGTTGCGACCTGCTTCTTCAGCTCGTGCAGCCACCCGTCTGTGCGTACTCGTACTTGTCCTGGCAGCGTCCCAATCGATTTGATTTTTGCATCACTTTGCAACCGGCACAGCTTAGAGCAAGAAGTGACATCTCTGCCTCTCACCCAAGATCTCAGCGCCGCTTCGACTGCCTGGCGGAGAGTCTCTCTCTTGATCTCTCTATCTCTCGATCTCTATCTAAATCGCTCTAAATCTCTCTAAATCTCTCTCTAAATCTCTCTCTCTCTCTCTCTCTAAATCTCTCTCTCCCTCTCTCTCTCTCTCTCCCTCTCTCTCTCTCTCTCTAAATCTCTCTCTCTCTAAATCTCTCTCTCTCTCTAAATCTCTCTCTCTCTCTCTCTAAATCTCTCTCTCTCTCTAAATCTCTCTCTCTCTCTAAATCTCTCTCTCTCTCTCTAAATCTCTCTCTCTCTCTCTAAATCTCTCTCTCTCTCTAAATCTCTCTCTCTCTCTCTAAATCTCTCTCTCTCTCTCTCTAAATCTCTCTCTCTCTCTCTCTAAATCTCTAATGAACCGCGTGCTGGTACGTCTTGACGATCAATGTTCAACTCGACACGCGCCCCTGGACTGTCGTCGGTGTACACGGAGGGGGTGTAGATTAAGCTTGAGTGGCCTGTGTCGAGTGGGCTCAAGGCAAGGGAAGGGTTTGGAAACCACTTCACAGTGTCGGTGACATGGGGTCTCGAGTCGTGCGTCTCCGCGAGCCTCACCGGTTCATGTTTTGCGTGACGGGATGTGGAACGGGGGACGATAGCTGCGGCAGGTGGTACACGAGGGCCGTGTGGCCACGGCGCATCCCATCAGCCGCTTGCGCAAGGTGGAGCTGCCCCGCAAGGCTGACGAGACGGGCGCCGAACGCTCGCTGCGTGAACGCCTCGATCATGACTACGCATGGCACGAGGCGTTTTGGACGCGTAACAACATCAAGTTTTCAGAGGTACGAGACCAAGTCCAAGCCCCTTTGCACCCCACACCCGCTTGGTCGACCTCACGCTCAGAGCATGCACATCGCTCTGGTTGACTCGATTCATGGAGCCGGGGGAGAAGGGCGGTGTTCCACGAATCATGTTTGCCCACCCAGCATGCCATCTCAAGCCCGGCCGTGTGTGTGTTCCTGCTTCTTGCGCATGTCTATGCCCTGTCTTGGTATCATGCAGGAAAAGCGCCGCTTTGTGGCTGAACAACAAGCCCAACTGGGTCTAGGCAATCAACGGTTACCTCCAGAAGTCATGTCCCGCTTTTACAAAAACTTTCTCGACGAACACCGCGTGGAGCACCGCGCCTACAACGTGGAGTGGTGGCGTCGCAGCTTTGCCCAATTGCCGCTGTATGCGCGAGCGTATTGGAGCCGCTGGCGCCAACCTTCCTCGTCTCGTTGATGAGGGGCCCCAAAAACGCAATGACCCAACCCCGCGCCTGAACCCTTCCTTCCCTTCCTAGTCGCCATCTTCCTCCTTTTTTAGCCAACAGCTGCTCTCATGCCTGTTCGGTTTTCGTTTTTTTTTCTGTTTTATTTTGGTGCTTGATGTTTTATGATACCAACCCCTATCCTTTCGATGTTGTGATCGACCCCTTTCTGCCCTTGAGACAGTGCATGTCCAACTCGGCTGGGTCATTTGGCTCCACAAATAGCCATGCGCCAGGCCAGTGAGACAATTGCCATCTTCTATTGATATCCTTGTGCCTCGGCACTGGAGTCAACGCCCTTGAATTTACCACACACACACACAAACACACACACACATGATCAAGGCTAGCGACCACTCAAGACGTCAAAACGTCGACACTCGCAATGATTCAAAGCGCCGACTCCTCGTAGGCAGCAGCGCGCAAATGCTCTCGCTGCCAGCCGCTATTCTGATCCAGCGAGCTATGAAGCATGTCCAACAGCTCATCAAAAGACTCGTCTACTTCTACTGGCGGCTCTTGCGCGGCGTTATTTGAGGAAACACCAAAGGTGTGTGGACCTGCATACACATCCACAGGCTCCACGGGCCGATCTTCAAACGTGTGCAACGTTGGTATGCTGGCTCCCGTGTCAGCTTCGGACACCCCGAGATAGGGGGAGGTGTACATGGTCGACGTTGAAGACACAACGCTGGTGCCCAAATGCTGGTCCAGATTGTGAATCTCAATCTTGGCAGATGCCCGGGGCCGCCGTAATGCCCATACTGCGGCCATCACGGCCAAAAGACCCATCATTGTTGCAGCCAACGCCCATGCCACAGTCGAAGTCACAATGTAGACTACAACCAGCGTCCACGCACCCAGGAGGAGGGCATCGACAACCGCAGCGCGAACCAGCGCCTGCTGACTCGTCAGGTACCGCACAACAAACGCAGTCTTCTGCAAGGCTCCATGCGGCACCACACCCAGGAGCAAGGCCGCGGCCCAAGCAGCCGCCACCAACAACTGCGCAAGGCTCACACCTGCTGTAGCGATCCAGCCAAAGGGGGCATCCGTCGAAACAGCACACACTGCATTGTCCGCGCGAGCTGCCGCAAAGGCATCACCAGCCACCGCCCCCCTCATGCCCTCGAGCAATACATACAAACCAAACAGAAACGGGCCAATTGCAGCAGCTAGTACCGTCGCCCACGCAGGCAGCGCAAAACGAGCTGAAACTGCCCGTGCTCGTGCCATGCCCGCCACCAATGTCGCACTTCCCAGCGCGACCCAAGTCAGGCCAAGAGAAAATCCATACCAGCCACACGCTGTCACCCCAGCGTGGCCTCTGTGACTCGACGCCACCAGCAACGCCACGCTTGATAAAATCCCCGCGCCTGCCTGTACCACGGCTGCTGGTCGCACGGGGGCCACGTGGGACCAAGCCCACATACCCTGCAATCCAGCCGCTAACAATAATACAGAAGCCGCCGCTAACAACCAGCGCGATGCCGGCAGATGAGCAGGCCGAGTTGCCAACAATGCAAACGGTGTGGCGTGCGTGCATCGACAAATGGCGCTGTCCTCGTCGTATGTTAGAGAGCAGCCGCGATCACTCCAGCGACCCCCCTTTAAAGATGTGTCCCAAAACACGCAGTGCACTTCTTCAACCCCTCCAGCTCGAAAGCCCTCGTCACTAGACACGTTGAACGTGAGGAAAATAGGCTGCGCATCGCTTACCACGGCACCGGCACCTGATACCACAGAGGCAGCCTGCCCAGCAAGCAGCCGGTGCGTCAAGACCTTCAGCCGGCCCACATCAGTCAGGAACACAGAGTCAGCCGTTGGGAAAAGAGTGGCACGGTCAAAAACAAGTGCACCCACATGTCCGCAGGAGCTGCCATTAGTCGCCACGGCATTGGTTGTTGACACTGCCGCCGCCAAGGAACCTGCGTCGTGAAGCATGACCGTGCTCGCCGCCACACCCCCGCTGGCCAACACCAATCGAGCCGACGACCCCACCTCCTCCGCCGTGCTGGTGCCACAAGCCGTGGCGTTGAGGCGCGCCAGACGTGCGCGGGTGTACGACTCCAAAGCAGCGATGATGCCTGCTGTGGAGGCAGATGAAACCAAACGGGCTGCGAGGACCACGTCCACGATGCGGGCCACCTCGGCGTGCACGACTGCCAATTCCGTCGCTGACGCCTCAGCGACCTGCGCTACCAGCAAACTGAGAGCTGTCGCGTAACCTTCAAGCTCGACCGTTCGGAGCGCATGGCTTGGCTGTGGCAACGCCTGAGCATCATCATCACCGAGACCACCCCCCTCGCTCGCTGCACAGTAGGACCCCGCCAGATCTTGCAACGCTCCTCGAGCTGCCTCATCGGGATACAAAAGGATTGTGGCTATCGCATCCGACCCGAGCTTTATCGTTACCTGACCGGCTGTGCCCGTTTGGATGTGCACACGCAGGCTTGCACTGGTCACCCCCACGCCGAGCGTTAGGCTAGGGGGCAAAGGGGCGACCCGCTCAGCCGCCACAGCGCCAGCGGTGCTCACGCGGACGCTTGCCTCAATGGGAAGCAGAGCGCCGCCAATACGTTCGACGGTGAGCGTCAACGTGTTGTTAAATCGTGTATCGGCCAGGCGAAGCCGGTCCAAGCAAGCAAATGCGAGACGACCCGCCGGCACGTCATTTGCACGAATCAGGCCGTTAGCCCGGCCCCCGCTCAGTGCGATCGTGCCCGGAGCGCCGGTCATGGAAACGGTGATCTGAACCGCAAAGCGCTCATCTACCTCGGGCTCCAAGTCATCAACGCATAGCAACTGCAGCGTTGCTGTCGCCTGCCCGGAGCCAAATGTCAGGTTACCGCTCGATGGCGCCAAGTCAGACTGGCGAGCCGATTGTGCGACAACGCTCCAATCCAAGACCACCGTGCCAAACAGGCCGCCCGCCCGCCTCACCTCAAACGCGGCGGTGCCGCCCTCATCACAAGTGCCGTCCGCGCCGAATATGGTAAACTCCCCGTAGGCCCGGTCGTTGGCCGCAATCGTCACTTGCATCGTCGCAGCGGAGGCATTGATGTTGACACCGTTCTCAGCGCTCGTCAACTCAAGCGTCAACATCTCAGCATCTTCGGGCTCGTCGTCAGGGCGCAGCACCAGCAACACGGCCGCTTCACGCTGGCCAGCGGCAAATTCGACGTGTTGTGGCACAATCTGGAAGTCGGGTTGGCCACTGCCGCTATCTGGGTTGGAACCATCAAAGGCGACGACAACCACGGAGATCCCAACGTCGCGGAGCAAGCCTCCGCTCCGCCGGATCACGAGAGCGCGTTGACCGTCATCCTCCGACACTGTCAACTCGGGCGAGCTAAATCCGACGCGGCCATAAGGATCATCGCTCGCGGGGACATCCACGCGACATGAGCCAAGATCTGCATTCACCACCGCCAAGTCAGAGCTCTGATTCAGCGCCAAGATCAAGTCGAACGATGCAGCCTCCTCGGGCACACCGTCTGCTGCTACCGTAAACGCGATGGTGACGCGATCCTCGCCTGAGGGGAAGGCAAGGGCCATCCGCGATGGGATGCCCGTGTCCAGAAGCTGTGAGAGCAGCTCAGCTGGCCAAACCAAATCTGCCACCATGTCAAGAAGTGCGCCATCTTCCCGCACGATGGTTAGCTCGACCTGCTTGCCCTCGGCCGCACTCAGCACCGTTTGGGAGAAGCCAAAGCGTCCGCCAGGATTATCGTTGGCCAAGATGGTTATGGCAGCGCTGGACGAGAACACCACCAGATCGTCTCCGGTGGCCACAATGTCGGACAACTCAACAGACACTGACTCGTTCAACTCGGGGACGCCATCTGCCAACACCGCCACATCTACCACGACCACATCGACATTGTTGGCTAGCGTCACGAGCAGGGAGGGCACCGAAAGCTCCCGTGGGATGGCGGCACTTGCAAGCTGTGCTTGCAAGCCACCCACAACGCCGAGCCGGTCGACACGTAACCGTGTCGTCTCCCCCTCTCGTGTGGCCGCTGTCTCAAAGCCAACTTGTAGCCCCAGATTGGAATCCAACGCGGTTGCCGTCAATATCACGCCCGTGCCAAGAACGGGCAGTGCCGCGCCATTGGCTCGACGCACGGGACGCAGCTGCACGTGTAGCCGATCACCACGGTAGAGACGTGCTAAAGGCAAGACCAAATTGGCAAAGGACAAGCTGGCACGACCTTCCTCGAATGATATCCAGCAAGTGCTGCAGTTGGTCCAGTCAGCAGCGCGCGCAGCAGCGTCAGGCAAGGTGCTTTCCAAGGTGAATTGCACTTTGACGTCGACCGCGCCCGACAATCCTGCCAAACGCTGAATTGTGCCACTGAGCAAGCGCCGGCGCTCCCGGATGTGGACTGTTGATAGGACAGCCGATGTCAGGTTGAAGACCCCGTAGGGATCGTCATTGGCTGGAATAGTCACGTTGATGTGCGAACTGCGACCCAGCACCGCCCCTCCAGCGACAACTCTGGTGGCAAACACCCAGGTAGACTCGAGCTCGGGCACGTCGTCATCAGCCACAAGCAGTGTGGTTGAAGCCTCCAGTTGCCCATCCTCCAGAACCAACTGTGAAGGAGTAAATAGAAAGCGGCTTGCATTGAGGCTTTCAGATTCCGTATCCATTGCCGTCAGCTCCAGGGCGCACACGACGCGCCCGAATCCGGCCGATCGTCGAAGCCCCAAGACCCGAGCTGTACCCTCGGCCACCACGACAGATGCCGAGGCAGGCGAGACGGTGACTATGCCGTTGCCAAAGTTGGATGCGGCAATGAGGACGGTCGCATTGGTGCGGCTGAACGCCAGACCTCCCTCTACCACGCTGGATCGTAGCGTCAGCTCCACCGTGAATCGTTCCGCGCCCTCCACCCGCGCATCAGCCCGGATTGTTAGCTCAATCAAATGACTTGTTTCGTTCTCCGCAAAGCTCAACTGGCCGGAGAGCTCTGTGTCCGTGCCCAAGTCTTCCCGAGTGGCTTGGGAGCGCGCGCAGCCCGTGGTTTGATCCGCATCGCTGGAAGCGTCACAGAGATACACGTGCCAGCCAAGGCTCACGCTGCCAAAGGCGCCACCTCGGCGCGTTACGTTCAGAAGCACAGGCACCGTGCCCAATGATGGCTCGACCACGTCGATGTGTGTCGTCTCAAACCCAAAGACGCCATTGGCGTCATCGGAGGGGGCAACGCACACTTCCACGCGCGAATGCGAGAGATTAAACGACCAGCCGACCGGTATCCCTGCGGCATCGGCCACGGATAGCACAAGCGCATAACACTCGTCGACCTCGGGGAGGCCATCGTCGTGAACGTGAAATTGCACCTCCTGCATTGATTGACCATCGACAAATGTCACATTCAAACGCTCGGGCGACAGGCCGCTGCCTTGGGTTAGAGTCCAAGGATAAACACTCAAGGGCACGGTTGTAAGTTGCAAGGTCAGCATTCCAAAAGTTCCGGCATCACGATGAATGGTAAGGTTAAGCGACTGCCCCCCGCGAACAGCGGTGCTCTCGTGATCCAGGCTCAACCGGAACGCACCGCGATAGGCATCGCTTTCTGCCACGTGGATCGTGCGCTCGATTGTGCGCGGATCTGCTGCAAGTAAGGGTGGACTATCAGCAAAGCCGCCGGTCGGTTGTCCCAGATGCACATGCACAAGCGCAGCAGCCTCGGGCAGGTGGTCGGCAGGCACGGCCAGGATAATGTCCCGTGTGCGTTCTCCGTCAGCAAAGGACAGGGGTGATGGGGACTGTGCGTACAGCACAGAGGTAGACACATTGCTGAAGGTAAAGGGCACGGCGATGTGCCCGAAAGCGCCAGCAGTGCGATGTACGGGCAGCCGAAGGAACGTCGTCTCATTATATGCCTCGGAAACGTTGAGCACGGCGGCCAGCCCAACGTCAAACGCCAGCACGCCACTGGCGTTGTCGTTGGCTGCGATGCGAAAATGCAGCGCTGCTGCCGTCGGTGCCAGCCGCGGCGAGGTGGGATCATCCCAGGCCAAACGGTTGGCTACATCGACCTCTGTCACGGCCAAAGCAAAGGCCTCGGTCTCCTCTGGAATACCGTCCGCTGTCACGGTGCAGGTCACCGATACATTTGCGACGCTGGCCGGGAGCACCACAACACCGTCCACGAGGCCACAGTCCAGATCCGTGGCAGAGTCAAAGGCGGACCCGTTCAAGGCAACAGCGACCATCCGTGCAACGAGGATGCGATCAAGTGGGCCAGAGCGCAGCAAAAGCACCTGCACCTCATCTCCCTCCCTGAGCGTTTGATCCTGGTGGTGACTTTGCAAGATGTAGTCGACCGTGCCATACGCCCCATCGTTGCCGGCCACTGTCAGCTGTCCCGTGCCTTGACGCACTTCCGCGCCCAACAAAGGCGTCAAAACAGAGATAGAGATCCGGAAATGTTCAGCCCCTTCGGGCATCTCATCGGACAAAACGGTAAGCACAAACGTGGCCTCGGCCACCCCTCGCGGGAACACCAACTGGCCCTGAGTTTGTGCAAAGTCAGACGTGTTTGCTGGCTCAACGTGCCAGGTCACGACAGCCTCCACGAGCGCCCCCTGTTCGCGGAAAACGTGATACACCACGAGACTCGGGCCGCTGTCTTCCTCGGCCACGATACGCTCCAGATCACTGGCTACTAAGGAGAAGGCACCTGCCCAGGCATCGGATGCTGCCACTTCAAATTCAGTGCTGGCATTTGACGTAGCCACGCGGGCACCACCCGAAGCAGCGCGTAGTGAGATGTTGAATGCCTCTGCCAATTCTACACGACATGAAACGAAGGATATGAGAGGCAATACACTCAAAGTGACAAGAGGTGCTGGCCGGGAAAAGAAAAGAAACACTGCCCAACCACTGCCTTAGGGGGAACCAATGGAGCACTGCGGCATCGATGACCAAGCTCGTGCTCCGACTTACCAGGTGTATCGTCATCCACAATGGGCAAAGTGATGGTGGCAGTTGCCTGATCAGGCGCAAACCTAATCGTGCCACCAGTAAGTGGAATATCTGTACGATTATCAGCCAGCCACACACGATGCAGGGAGGCAATGCCATGGCACTGCAGCAATATTTCCGATGGACGAGTGACCAAGTGGCTCACGGTGGGATGGATTAGCTCCGCACAAAGCCGGCCCATCAGCCATTCGACTTGGAAAGACTCCGATAGCTTGCCCACTCGAAGCCCATCGACTTCACTGCTGCTCAACACAAAGATACTTTGGTTGAAAACAAAGACATGATCGACCGGCGTGCCTAGGGCACCAGCGACTGCGCCAGTCTCCAAGACAATCATACGAGTGTCCCCACGATCGACTAGCGCAGCCAGGGAACCAGCACAGAGCCAAGTCGGGGTACCGTCGGTGCTAAAGTTATGCAGCACCAAGCCCCCGATCGTCGTCATCTGGGCGATGTTTTGCCTGGCATCCGTCCACAACATGCGCCGACCGCAGATGGATACTGAAGTGGCCCCTCGGGTGGGCAAAGCTTCAATGATGAGTGAGTTCATGTTGTCGCCCAGGCGCACAAGCTGCGCTTGATCGAGTATACCTAATGATGAAACAGGTGCAACTCAAATGACCCCTAGCCAAGTATTGTGCAGGTAGCCAATTTAGCACGCACAGTCAAACGAAACATACCTGGAGGAACGATGGCGAGCAACGGTGCTGCAGATCCCTCGGGTCTGATTTCTAACCCCCACGCCGCCGCCGAGACGGCCAAGTTGAGCGGTAGGGTGGCTTGCAAGCTCTCGCATGGAGCTATGACATGTACGGCTGAGTTACCCGTTGTGGAACCACCCAGAAGAAAGACAAGCCCACCCGATACACCCCATGTCCAGGAATCAGCCATCGCCACCCGAGCCGACACAGAACAGGAAGCATCGTCAACAGATTGCACCACAAGCTCTGCTTGGCCACGCCCGGTGCTATTAACACGAGCCAAAAGGACAAGATGGTCCGTTCCCTCGATAGTGAGCATGTGACAATCGCTGTCACACGCAAGGCTGGGTACTCCCCAGGGCGCATCAGCAACGGCGGCCGCTTCAGTTATGGAGGCCGCTTCAGTTATGGAGGCCAAGCTACCGGTTTGAGCCCCCACACCCACTCCCTGAACGGACCAGTCCAAGTCCACGTGTCCAAGAAGCCCACCGGCGCGCGTGATGACCCAGCTGGCGGGTATGCCGGTCTCGTTTAAAATGACCTCAGAGGCAGACAGGTGGAAGATGCCATGCGCATCGTCATTGCTTGGGACAAGAACCCAGATATGCGAGCCCTCGGCGGCCACGGGGGCATCAGCGCTCCGCAGGCTCAGGCGATAGTATGTTGCGACCTCTGGAATCTGGTCGGCCCAAACAGTGACGACAAACTCGCCAAGAACCTCGTTTTCACGCAACACCAATGACGGTGGACTGATGGTTACGTCAGAGGCCGAAGATAGCTCTCCATTGGCTTCGAGTCGCTCGACCTCACAAACCACCAGCACATTTGTCAAGCGCCCTGGTGCGCGGCTGATTGCAATAGGCAGAGACGAGTTGCGCGTCTCATCTTCCGTGATTGTCTGATTGGCCGTATTCTCAAAGTGCAACAGACCACGCGGATAACCGCTTTCGGCAATCCGAACCAGAACCTGAGCGCGTGTTCCCAAGACGCCATGAGAGGGAGGGCCCAGTTGGATGACAAACGTTTCCGCAAACTCAGGGATCTGATCGTCGAGAATGGTAAGGTTGATTGTCATGAGAACCGCTCCCTCAGAAAACGTGATGCTGGTGGCAAAGAAGAACAATGGTGAATGACTGGGAAATTATAAAAAAAAAAAAAAAAAAAAAAAAAAAAAAAAAAAAAAAAAAAAAAAAAAAAAAAAAGTGTGCCAGCAGGACCACGCGCTGTAAACCATACCTGGTTGTGTGAAGCTGGACGTCGGACGCGAGGGTCGCTGGATTTTCCTGCCCCGCCACACTCAGAGTCACCTAGCAGAAGCAAACCAGAGGAGGGACGAACGCAAGAGAAAAAGAAAATGAGCTATGCTGTCCGCCGGTCATGCAAACTAGCAAGCCACTTTGCAGCTCATGAGCGAGCATGCAGCGAGGTAACACAAGAGCTTCTTCCCCCAAGCAATTCGAGGCCGTGCACACCGGAATATTGGTAGTCCCAAAGGTGCCGGCAGAGCGTGAAACTTGAAGAGAGACAACGGCGCCCTCCGTCGTCTCCACGAGGCCAGCAGATACAAAGCCGAACACGCCGTTGGCATCGTCATTCACATCAATCGTGATGCCCAAAGGAGTTGCTGAGGCAGCCGGGGTGGTGTTGCTGGGCGGGTAAGTCTCATCAACGAGCGTAACCTGGTCAATGACGAGAGAAAAGTCTTCAGCCAGCTCTGGGATGTCATCATTGATCAATGTGACATTGACAAACTCCACGCGCTGCCCCTCCTCAAAATAGATTTCAAACTGCTCGGCTACGAAATCTACATTGGGCGTAGCAGTCCCGCCAATTGCCGAGACTAATACCAAAACGCGCCCAAAGAGCCCCCCAGAACGCTGAATGGCAAAGGGAAGGGGGCCGATCACTTCCTCGACCACAGTCGATGCATCAGCGAATGCAAAACTTCCGTACACGTTTTGATCACTGGCCACATGGATAGAGGCCTCAGTTCCGACCGCACTCAGCGTAGCAGCCGAGGTCGACAGATTCTGTAGACGAATCGAGACTTGTTCAGCGAGTTGAGCCACGAGATCATTGTGGAGCTCCAATCGTACATATGCCACAGTCTGCTCGGCACCAAAGGAAACCGTGCCGCTTGTGGGCAAGATTGTGCGCGCGCTCATCATCATATCCAGCATCCAGTCCACCTCGACCATGCCTGCTTGCAAGCCTGTACGCAAGATGGGCACGTCCAGCTGTGTGATGGCCTCCGCTGTCAGAGGCTCGCTCACCTGGGCCTCAGAAATGGCCCATTGGAAAGTGCCCGCCGCCAAGTCATTGCCCAAGATCTTAAAGCTCAGCGTTGTTGCATTGGTCAGGATGGCGCCGCCATCAACCTGGCTCACCGAAAGCCCGATTTCCTCATCAAGCTCAGGAATGTCATCGTCCAGCGCCGTCACCCGGAAGGTGACTTGGCTTTGTCCCTCCATCAAAGCCACGCTGCTGGGAACCATCACATCATCACGGTGCGCCTCATCCACCGTCAAATACAGCAGCTGATCGCCGTACCAGCCCTCTTTGCGAAGCACCGTGACGACAGCAGCTGCGCCGCCCTCCGTAAGCTCGGACCGATCCGCCTCAATGCTCAAAAGGCCGCGAGGAAAATCGTTAGCGCCTAGCTCAACCAGCACGCTGGCCCCTTCGCACAACACTGGTGCCATGGGCTGCACAAAGTCGTCCAATAAGACCACATCAACCATCTCCACCAACGCAAACTCGCTTAGCTCTGGCAGCGCATCTTCAAAGACAGTGAGCGCAATCGGCACCGTGCTGGTGTCTGCGGGTACCAGCACTGTGAGCTCGGCAACTAAATCGGCTCCTGGCAAAGCCACACGCGAGGCCAGCGCTTGGGACCCCTCATGCTTCAGAACGTATAGTTGTGCCGTTGCCAGCGCCACCACCGGCGCTGTTGCTTGGGACACATTACCATACAGTTCACATACTCCTAGGTTCCGAAGGACAACTGCAGCCATGCACCCAGTAAATTCGAGGCATGCCCATGGACAGGCCCATTCGCTTTCAAGGTTGAAAGTATTCAAAAGGCTGGGTCCCATGCTACCAGAGGCGTCTGCGTCGAGCGTGGCTTCAGACAACAGTGTAAACACATCTGCCACCACCCCCGCCTTTTGCGAAGCGTTAAGCCACGGCGCGAGGGTTTGGGCAACGGGTGCTGATACGCGCACGGTAACCTGCAGCTCACCAAAGAGACCACCCTGACGAAGAACGGTCAAGAGCACCTGCCCAGCTTCCTTACGCTCGCTGGATGGTGGATGGTACACGATGGAGTCCTCTTCAAAACAGAGGGCCCCATGAGGTGCATCTGACTCGAGGAGGGTCACTGTTCGATTGACCCGACCTGGTGTCAAACGCCCACCACCATGCACGGCCAAGAGTTGGACCGAGACATTGTTGTATAGAGAAGGCAGACTGTCATCCGTTACATTCAGCCGCAACACCATGGACTCCGCACCAGCTGCCGGGAAGATCAAGGTACCTGCATGCGGTGCCAAATTGCCGGGCAGGTCAAGCTGATCATGGGTACGCAAAACCCAGTCCACATGCGTGGTACCCCGAGTACCACCCTCGCGCCGTACAAGTAGTTCGAGTTGCCGAGAACCATCGGCATCCTCGTGTACAAGCAGCGCCTCGGTGCTGGCGTGTCCAAAGCGCCCATATGGGTCGTCCGAAGCAGCAATCTCAATTTGTTGAAGCGTTCGCGTCCCAAGACGTGCTTGGCTGCCTGCACCGAGACCCAGAAGAACAAAGGCCATTTCTGCGAGCTCTGGCTCTGAATCTTCGAGCAAGGACACATTCACCAGAACCCAGCGCTGGTTGGCTGCCAGAGTAGCTGTGATCGACAAGATGTCAAAGTCGCGGCCTGGAATGGCGCACAGCTCAAAATTGCATGCACCGGGAATGACGGCTGCCAGCGAAATGTTCACTTCACCAAACGCACCGGCATGACGCGAGACGTTCAAGGCCACCACGCTACCTTCAGTGCCGGGAATGATGAGAGGCGTGTTGTCTGAGAACTGCAACACGCCACGCGCATCATCGTTCTCGCGTATAACCACCGACGTATTCCGAAGAACATTGATGCGAGGTTGTGGATTGTGCACCTCGTCCAGCGCGGATGAAAGCAGGGTCGCGTTGGTAATGATCAGCACCAAGCGCTCCCCAACTTCCGGTTCATCGTCTGGCCAGACAGCGACACGAAAGGCGGCGCTCGTCTGGTTGGGAGCAAACACGACGGGCTGCGTCCAGTTGGCCGTCACATCTGCACCAACGTCGACGGTGCTTGAAGTCGCATGCCCCAGCCAGAGAGCAACCTCTCCAAACGCTCCACCGACTCGATCGACCCAGGCCTGAACCACCGTGGGCGCCTCGCTGCTCTTTGGCTCGTCCACATACACAGTCTCCCGACGCAGTTGAAAGTACCCATACGGATCGCCATTTCCGGCTATAGTGATGGTAGTCGCCGCGTCCGGACCCAAGGTCACGGCCTCACCAGTGCCGAGGTTCCCAACGTAAATTTCCACCACAAAGTCCTCGCTGAGCTCGGGAACATCATCCTGAATAGTGGAGAGGTTAACCTCGGCGCGCGCCTCGCCGGCCGGGATGATGACCGTTCCTGAAAAACGGTCAAAATCACCCAAGACGGTGTCCGCACTGGCGCGGAACTGCCAGCCTAGGTAAGCGGTACGGAATGTGCCTCGAGTACGCTCAATCACCAGTGGCACCCGAACACCTTCCTGCACGACGAGATCAAGAGAAGCATTGCTAAACCCGAACACGCCAAAGGGGTCATCAGAGGGCAGAATGCTGACATTGACGGCCTGATGCTGCGTATCCAATCGACTCAAGCCACTCGGGGCGAGCGCATCGAGGTGGATTTGGAAGAATTCTTCGTCCTCGGGGATCTCGTCGTCGACAATCTGAACCGTGACTGTCTTGAAGGCTTCCGTGGGACCAAAGTCGAAGGACGTGGGAAAGCTTGCCAAGTCTTCGGCATCAGCCGTGCCATATGTGACCGCCAGCTGAACGCTCACCGCACCGGCAAGAAAGCTGGTGCGCTCAATCACAAGCTGCACGAATGCGCCTTCTGCCACGCGCCCCGCCTGAGCGCCTTGCAAAAAATGCAGTGAAAAGGTGCCAAAGGGCGCATCATTGGCGGCGATGGCAATTTGAGATGTGGCCCTGTCCGATGCCACAGCAGCACCCTCGGCACTGAGTCGCAGCTCGTGCAGCTGCCACAACTCTGGCTCGCTGTCATCCAGAACGCTAAACGTGATCTCCCGCACGCGCTCGCCCTCTTCAAAGTGAATCGTTGTCGTGAGAGGAGATATGTCCTCAGACCCCACGCTCAAGTTTTGAAGTCGACATGGGATCAAAGGAACACTGGTCAAGCAGCTCTGCCAGCTCACCTCCACCGACACTGCACCGTAGGCACCTTGCTCACGAAGAATAGTCAAATTGAAGATCTGTCCCTCAGTCAGATTGAGGCTGCGTGGCTCAAGTACAAATCGACCGTGAGGCTCATCAGACTCGGCCACATCTAGCTGGACCGAGCTGGCGTTCTCCGCCACTTGAGCTGGCGGATCTGCCTCCAGCACCAACAAGAAACTTGCGGCCAACTCTGGAACGGCATCATCCACGGCCAGCAGCGTGAAATCCTTCTGCACCTCACCCTCCTCAAAAACAAGCGCGCCTTCGGCCGCCGAGAAGTGTTCAGCTATGATGGCGTTCTGCAGAGGCTCAAGGCGGTATTGAACTCGAATCGCCCCGAAAGCCCCGTAGAAGCGTGCAATGGGCACAGAGAGCAACCGACCCTCAGTCACTATGAAACATGCCACAGTAAAATCACAAGGAAGCAAAACAAGGGTTCAGAATGCACGGTGACATTAGCACGAGCGTTGGTGGACCAGGGACAGGCGCAAGCGCATCAAAAGCTTGGGAGGAAGGAGGCAGTAAGGGCATGATGGTTCAGATCCAGACACATGCGGACCAACCATTCAGAACGGTTGACATGACGCCAAAAACGCCGTGCGGATGGTCAGAGGCGGAGATCTCAAACACCATCCCAGTGGTATCGAGATTTACGCTGGCGTATTGAATGTCAGCCGGAATAGCCGTCTTTAAAGACACGGTGCACTTTTCAGCGAGCTCCGGCACACCATCGGCAAGAATGACAAAACTGATGTTGGCCGCGGTCTGGTTCTCTGCAAACAAGACCTGCCCTGAAGTGGGAGCAACGTCAGAGGTACAGTTGTCAGCCACCTGCCAAGCCACCATCACGTCGCCAAAGGCGGGACCGCTCCGTCGAATTGTCACATTCATGGTATCGCTCTCAGATAAAACCTGAGGCTGGGTTGCCGAGGCGCTCGCGTTGACCAAGGCAAAAGATCCCCCAATCCCATCACTGGCGGCCACGGCGACAACAACTACATCAGCCAAAGGATCCACCATGTAGTCAAAGCCCATGGATGGAAAGAGCGAGACCTAATGATTGCCGCACGAACAGAACATTATATTATGTCAAAAGAGCTCGACGTAAGGGCAAACAAAATCACGAGGGGAGCCTCTGAGAAAGAAAGCAGAAAAACAAACGAAAGGGCCAGAGCATAGATGGAGATGCGAGAGGTTACGACGCACCAAAACCTCACGACGAGGCTCTGGGAAAGAATTGTCGTCAATGGCAAAGGTCGCGTTGATTCTGGTCACATTACTGGGCAGGACAAAAGGGGCTCCATCCACCAGGCGCAGAGGTGCCGAGGCTACAAAGTACAAGAGACGGGGTGGGTTGAGGGAAAAAAAAAAACGCAAAGACCTGGCTGCCACGCGCCGGTCTGGGGCACTCACCGGGAAGCGACAAATTTAAAGGAAGATTTTGCGCCGTATTGCCCGTGCGCACGATCGGCACTGCAAACTGGCCGATCTCCTCCCTGACCTCCATCCTGAGAGTGTCAAAAGCCAGCAGTGGGTCATTGCTGGGTACCAAAATAAAAGCATGGCGCCGCACACCAACGCGTCCAGCCTCAGGGTCGGTGCTGGCATCAAACAAGGTGACACGAAACAACTCATTGTCCTCGGGCACACGATCGTGTAAGACAACCAAAGACAGGTCGGCTGCCGTGGCACCGTCCTCCACGCGCAGCACACCAGAAGTCGCCGCAAAATCGTTTACAGCATCACCAAATGCGTCCACGGCACACTGCGTAGCATCTGTATTCGGGCATTGCACTAGGACCCAAGGAAGAAGGACCGTGCCAAAGTGCCCCCCATCGCGCGCCACGTTCAAAGCAACGCTCGTGTTGCTATCGACGGCCTCGTCCACTGTAGTGACGGCAAGCACGCTATCAGCAAAGCGAAACACGCCAGAGGAGTTGTCGGCCCGAGGCGTGGTGACGGTCACACCAACGTGAGTGCCCAGGTCGGCCGAGGGCCCGGCGGTTGCATTGATTCTGAGGGTGACCACCACCACCTCGGTCGGGTTTGGTACATCATCATCCATGCGCACGAGCGCAAAGCGCCCCTGGCGACTCGCCGCCGTGGCGCCACCAGCTTCAAAAGCTAATTGCCGGGGTGTAACCGCGAAGCGCGCTGCTGCCTCGACTGGCTCAAAGTCAAGCCCAACAACCACGTCACCAAAGGCACCGGCCTGACGAAAAACGATCAAGTCCATAGCCTCTCCCTCGGCCAAGGTGCGCGTAGCCGGAACGGCGGCACTTAACTCAAACTGGCCGTATGGTGCGTCGCTCGGTGCTACCACAATGGTTGAGGAGTTGTCGGATCCTAGAAAGGCTTGCCCGCCTTGAATCGGGCTCAGCTGGACGGTCAAAATCTCCTCGAGCTCGGGTTCGGCATCTCCGATTAGCGAGAGGTTGAGAAGCGCCATTCTCTGCCCAGGCCCAAACGTGAGGAAGCCATTCGTGGGCATCATGTCACTACTCGCGTCCTCGCCTTTATTGCCGGAAACGGTAAAGGGCAAGGTCACAGAGGTGAAGGTGCCATTGACACGCTCAACCCGTAACTGCACTGGCACATCCACCCCCTCGATTTCGCGGACGTTTACGGCGCGTGACATCAACGCAAATTGGATCGTCCCCGCCACGGCTGTCTCTGGAATCAGAGGATAAAAGCTGCTGGCCGTGGCTTCTGCGAAACGAGGGGGAAATCGAATAGCAGCAGGGCTGCCGGCATAGACCCCGACTACCGTGACGTTGATGATGGTCAGCTCAAGGTGATCGGCTGGCACAAGGCGATGACGTGCTGCCAAAGCAGGCTGCACTTGAAGAGGGGCTGCCTGGGCTTCGGGGAGCACTAGCGGACCCACGATGGCCAGCACCTCACCATTGCGCGCCCAGCGAGCCCAGAGCCCAATATCCCCTCGGCTATGGTTGGAGCGCGTAACATTAATGGTCAGGAAGCGAGCAGAGTCTGAAACCTGCAGAGAAGGACCTGCATGCAGAACAAGAGTGCCAAAGGGGTCATCGTTGGCTGGGATGGTAATGAGCAGGCTACGACGCGCAACCGAGCCGAGCACGGCGGGAGGGGACGCGCTGTGCAAAACGAGACTATATTCCGTGTCCAGTTCCGGGAGGGAATCGTTGAGGGACTGCAGCAACAGCCTGGCTTGGTCTACGCCGTCGGCGAAATTCAGCTCCCCCGCAACTTGCACCCAATCCGAGGACTGCACGGCCTGTCCATCAGCGCGATCAAGGCGCCAGCGCACGCTGATGGCGCCCACATTGCTGCTTGCAGCGACGATGCGGCGGGAAACGTTAAGCACCACCCCCTGCCCCTCCGCGAGGGTTAGGGAGTTGCGCTCAACAAAGCCCAAAACGCCCGCGGCTCCGTCAGAGGGGGCGATGGTGAGATTGAGACGTGTCGTTATCAACACCACCTCCCCGGTGAGCACGGTCATGTGGAGTTGAAAGAACTCGCTGGGTTCCAAGACGGGATCATCGATGAGCCGAATGGCCAAGGGCTGGCTGGAGACGTTGGGTGCAAAAGTGAGATTGCCGCTCACGGCCACGTAGTCCAGATAGGGCTCGGCTGAACCAGCATGCGTGGAAAAGGCCACGACGGCTGGAGAGGCCAAGAGACCAGTGCGCACGACGGTAAGATTGATCCAGCCGCTCTCCTCGAGCGCCGGCTCGGGCATATCGATGGCGATGCCGTCATCGTTACCCAGAATATCCACACGAGCGTGACGTCGCGTGACATCGAGCTCTGCCCCGGTGCTGGCGCTCTCGAGGTTAACCTCAAACTGTTGCAGGGTCTCGGGGACGTCGTCAGGCTGGATCCAGAGCTGTAGGGTACTGTTTCTGGCCCCATGTGGCACCACAAGAGTACCGCTGGTGTGCACAAACTGAGCCGAGGCGTTGACATTATCGGACAGGGCGCGCAACGACCACGCAAGGGCGATGTCTCGGTATACGCCACCTGTCCGGTTCACAGCAAGATTAATGGGGCGCGCGGCGGCCTCTGCCACAGATTCAGGTTCGCTGCCAACGACAGTCTGGCTGGTGGCGAAGCCAAACGTGCCATACGCGCCGTCAGAGGCGGCAATCAGGGCTGTGGCCTGATTCAAAAGAGGGTCAATGAGGACATCGACGCCAGACTCGAGTCGCAACTCAAACCGTTCTTCGTCTTCGGGCAAGTCGTCGTCACGCACGTACAGGGAGACCACAGTGCTATTGGTACCAGCAGGCAAAGCAAAGGTGGGAGCTACAAAAACAAAGTCTGCAGAGCCGTTGACAACACGCAACGCAGCGCCCGCAAGTGTTGTGGCACCACCGTAACGGTACACGGGCACGGAGATGACGGCCGCTGCTCCCCTGGATTCCTGGCCCCGATAGAGGCCAGAGGGATCAAGAACGAGGACGCCTTGTGAATAACCATTTGGCAAGATGAAGACGGAACGAACATTGCATGCAGTGCCGAGGCTAGAGCCTGGCAGGCTGCTGTTGAGCAGTTCGAGTTGCAGCAGCTCAGTCATCTCCGGCTCGGCATCGGCCAAAACGGCAAGAGTTACGGTGGCCATGAGCTGACCGGGCGCAAAAATGACTGAGCCAGACGTACTCGCCACATCGTTGACGGCGTGGGGAGCATCGACGACTTGCCACCACACCGTTTCCGTCTCATTCCCTGGCCCAGAGCGTGAGACGGATAAGCCAACTTCGTGATGGCCGCTGCTGGGCTCGGTGACCAAGAGAGGTGCCGAGCAGTTGTCCCAGGCTATGGTGGTGCCGGCGCTGCTGACTGCAGGCCCTGCAAAGAGCGCTGCTTGCAGACTAAGACACCAAAGGACGATAGACAGGCGCCCCTGCAGCCGAGCCGCAAGTGCGGGATTTCTCATGGCATGTGATGTGTGGTGTCTGGGCGAGAAACCGTGCCGTAACGGGCTATTGTCTGATGACGCAGCGGCCCCAGCCCACCCTGACAATGCCTGCGAGTCAACAAACTGCGCACAGCGATGCTCAAGGGGGTTGAGGCGCGAACCATTCGCGGCAACACTGCTGATGCGCATGGAGCGAGCGCGAGGCCGGAACATGAGGGTTAATTCACAAGGTGAACGTGGCGAAGCAGTTCAGTCAAGACGCCGCCGGCGCCGTGTACCAACGGCTTGACAAAGGCAATATGCACAGGACAATAAGGACGTACCTCTACGTGCACCGCAGAACCAACCACAGTAGAACAGCAAGCTGTGCTCTAGCGCAAATACGACGACGGGGTCTGGCCCGAGGCAGAGGGAGTGAAGCTCGCTGTTGTCATGAAAAGCGTAACAATTTTTGTTATCGTTTTGGCCGTTGACGCGGTCCACAGCACCGAAATGAACTGGCCTCAAGGGCACAGCCATGTGTGTGTGTGTGTGTGTGTGTGTGTGTGTGTGTGTGTGTGTGTGTGTGTGTGTGTGTGTGTGTGTGTGTGTGTGTGTGTGTGTGTGTGTGTGTGTGTGTGTGTGTGTGTGTGTGTGTGTGTGTGTGTGTGTGTGTGTGTGTGTGTGTGTCTGTTCGCTATGTTCCGCCCATTTCCATACATGCATGCATGCAATTGTTTGTCAGCATGCCCCCTGTCAGTTCAATTTTGTGCAAGACAGAAGAGTTTGAACGTGGGCTGCAAGGGCTAGTGGGTGGCAGCACGCTGGTACTGAGCAAGGCGTGGGAGGCGCCGAGCGGCCTCTTCGATCTCGTCATCCTGCTTGACGTAACAGAAGCGAGCAAAACGGGCTCCAAGATGGCGGTTTGGCTCGGTGTAGAAGCAGGACGGCGGGATGGCCGCCACACCAATCTCCGACGTTAGCCAGCTGCAAGGTCAAAAGCAAGTAGCAGACGAAGTGAGGTGAGGGAAAGAAAAAACGAAATCAACTTAAAAAAATCTAGGCGACATGGCGCTGGCGAATCTCGAAGCAGGTTGGCGGCGCACCGGCAAAAGTCATAGTCACGCGCAAAGGGAGCTTGAGAGGGCTGTGACAGGGCGATTGAATAGCCCAAAGCATACACAGGCAAGTGTGAGGCGGGTACGCGGTGTTGCTAGACTGCGAGGCAAGCTGGAAAAAGTGCTCTCACCGCTTCAAACTCGACGTTGCTCGTGTCGGCCAAAATAAAGTACGACGCCTGCAATTTGGGAACAAGCAAAGACAGGCAAGCCCCGTGAAAAAACCTTCCATGTCGACAACACCAGCACAGATTTACACAGATTCGCACAGATTTACAGCTTCACACAGATTGACACAGCTTCACACACACACACACACACACACACACACACACACACACACACACACACACACACACACACACCAGAAAGGGCCAAGCTCCACGATCTGACACATGATAATGAGCTGCTTTCTCACCTGGGGCATGCAGGGCTGAAGCCCGGCATCGTTCAAAATCTCCATCAAACGCTCGCGCTTGCCCAAAAAGCCTGCGTTGAATGGGCGAGTGGGTGCAGTGAATATCAGAGCAAGGTATAAAAGTCTCACACGCACGTTCTTTTGGCTCGAGCTTACGCCGCCGCTGACGATCGAAAAACCCATTCTCAATCGCTTGCTCCCACGCACTAGCGAGGGCGTGTTGCAGCGGCGTTGAGACGCAAAAGGGAATGTACTGCTGAGTGAGCTGCATGGGCTGCACCAGCTCCTGTGGCCCGATGGCCCAGCCTACCCCAGCCCCAGAACGGCACTCACAGCAGGTGAGACACTTCATAAAACATTGCATGGAAGAAAGCCATTTGTTAGCCAGGGCGCACCAATTTTCCAGCCAGTGAGGTTGAAGGCTTTGCCAGCGCTACCCAAAGTGACGGTGCGTTCCCACATGCCAGGCAAGGCAGCGATTTGCAGGTGCTCCTCGCCGTACGTGAGCATCTCATAGACCTACAGAACCCCATGCACATGATGATGCTCAAATCAGAACCAAGGCCCATCATCAGGCGAAGCATGTTGCCAAGCCTGGCCAATTTGAGCAGCGCAGCAAGAAAGGCGCACCCCATCGGCCAGAACAAGAGCGTCGTGCTGCTGCGCCAGGCGGGCGACCAACTCGAGTTCCTCACGCGAAAACATCTGTGATATTTGATCAACAGGTATGAAGTGAGCGATGGCGGCGGGCATGCCACGTTTATGGTCTTTTGCGGCTTTCGATCATGATTTCCTTTCGAACATTACCTTGCCGGTGGGATTGTGAGGGGTGTTGATGACAACAGCTTTGGTGCGCTCAGAGAAAGCCGCCTCAAGCTCAGCTGGGTCCCAGACCCAATCAGCCGACGTTGCAGGACGGCCAAGGTCGGCCTTTGGGGGACGTAGGGTCACCGATTTGACCACACCGCCTGCCATTTCCACCTGAGTCGTTAGTCATCACGAACAGCGCGTGAGACTGAGGCAAAGTTGCAGCCACTCCAGAAAACAAGTCGCGGACAAGCGTCAAGGTGGGGGGGCTGACACCAACCTGCGGCACATAGCTGTCATAGAAGGGCTCGATGATGACGACCTCGTCGCCCGGGTTGACAAAGGTTTGGAAGAAGAGAAACAGGCCTTGCGTGGCGCCTTTGGGGGAGCGTCAACCACCGATTTCAACGACTGAGCAACTTTCTCAAACAAGACGCCAGGCATGCATTGGGGCACGAGGCAGGCCAGTACCAGAGGTGATGCACACGTCTGTCAGGGGCTGAAGCGTGCGCTGGTATTCCGGACTATAGTAATCTAAGCACGGAAGCAATTTGACGCAGAGGCAAAGTCACTGGGCTTTCAATCGCGCCTGCTGAAAAACAACACGATAGCGAGCGAGCTGGTGCGAAGCTGCAGTGGGACGCATACCAGCAATAACTTCTACCAGCCGCGGAAAGCCACTAGCTCGCGAGTATTGGTGTTGCCAGCCCGGCTGTGCTTCTACACGTCACAGGCGCAGACACGATATATGATGGATGAGTGAGTAATAAAGCAGTGCAGGCGCTCAGCTGCGTAACTGATCACGTACGCTGACGGAGAGCATCGATGATGAAATCCTCTACGGGAATGGAGGGCAGGCCTTGTGATAGATTGACAGCCTTGTGTTTCAGGGCCAAAGGCGTAAACTCCGTCCACACGGTGTCTCCAAACCCAGATGATCGCTCGCTGACATATTTAGATAGCCGTGCCCTGCTTCAATTGACCCGGCAACAAGCCACCCTTGTAAGGTACACAGCCCCATCCTGTGCTCGTCCCCATGGGCCGAAGCAAGCACATGGTCTCTAGCAGGCCAGCAGAAACAGAAACCAAAGACTCTTTGCTGCCAATCCACCAACATCCACACACACACACACACACACACTAACCCCCCACATACACACTGATGCACGACCAAGGCCACCACCACGATCAAGGCCAGCGCCACTTACACGCCAGCCCCCGTCGTCTCCGCTGACCGCAGCAGCGCCCGGCGCGCCAGGGCGACCGTTCCGCCTGTCGCACGCCGCGCCCACATCCTGACTATAAATGTCTGACAATATGGTTATGGTCACTGTTTTCTTTTTCTGCTCTTCCTCGCCTCTCGCTCGCTCGCTCTCTCTCTCTCTCTCTCTTTAAAACCACCTCGCTGCTCATAGCATCTCTGCATGTGGCTTCAAATTAACTTTCCTGTCAAACACGAGCTTCAACACATCTCTGACCTCTACACGACTCTGCGCACTTTACGGTAAGGGCTCCACTGACTCGCTGTGCGGACGAAGATCCGGCCACAGCACACACTTGCCCCGCCCCCGCAAGGGCATCGAGCCGGTTTGCTCAATTATCAAGGCGCGCTCTACTTGATTGGAACAGGTGCTGATACCCAACACCATGGCCGACGCTGCCACACCGCCGTTCTCGCTGACGCGCCCCTCGCAGTATGATCTCAGCACCTACCTGGGACGAGTCAAGCAGTTTTATCGCTTGACGGACCCTCGGACCCTTCTGGCCACGGACACCGAGGTGCGGCCATGCCCGCCCCGCCGCCACAAACGATTGACCTGCACCTGGAATGTCTCGAACCTGCTCACCGCCTGTATTGTTGCTGACATGCCACGCCCGCAGTTTGAGCAAGCCAAGTCATGGATGGATCGCTTTCGTGCGGGCGACCGACCAGCCGGCGTATCAGATGGTCAGCTCTGGCGAGCCCGCCAGCTTGTCGAAGCCACCGTGCATCCCGACACGGGTGAAAAGGTCTTCCCCCTTTTCCGCTTCTCCGCCTTTGCCGTGGCCAACTTGCCCATCTGCGCACTGCTGCTCTACCCGACCACCAACCCCCTCTTCATCATGGGTGCCCAGTGGGTCAATCAGGTCAGCGGGACTCGTGCAGTTGTGCTTTGACCGCAGCCCCGTCCATTCCTATTTTTGAGGGGATGCATTGTGCGATCACCTTGGGTTTCATTGCACCTTACACTCGTGCAACTCACATGAATGGGGGCGGTTGGTTGGACGCAGACCTACAACGTTGCAATCAACTATGCCAATCGCAACGCCTCGAGCGAAATGTCCATGACCACGCTTGCAGGCGGTAAGTGCACTACGCATGAGGAGATGAGCGATTCCCATGTCCTCCATCCTTCAAGGCTGTGCCTTTGCCGTGTCCTGGGCAACCTAAAGCACGTCGCCTCAGCACGTCGCCTCTCGCCGCCTGACTCACGGGAACGCCTGGCGACTGACTTCTAGCTTACTCGGCAGCCGTGGCCAGCTCGTGCGCTCTGGCCTTGGGCACGCAGGCCGTGACGCGCCGTATTTTCGCGGGCAAGCCCATGACTGGCGCAACTCAAGCCATTACTCGCTCCCTTGTTCCCTACATTGCCGTTGTCGGTGCGTCCCTGGTCTACGCCCACTCCTGCTTTGAGATATTTTGCTCAACTCATTTCACTACCCAATTTGATGAGCAGGTGCTGGTATCGTCAACCTCGTCTGCATTCGCCAAAAGGAGCTGTTCGAGGGCGTCACTGTCTTTGATGGGTCGGTACTCGCGCCGTGCAAACACGTTTGACCTTGCGTGTCCCCCCCCCCCCCCCCCCCAACTCACAATCGACTTGCACCATACCAGTGAGGGCCGCGAGCTCGGCAAGTCGGTCAAGGCTGGCGAGGATGCAATCTTCAAATGCAGTATTGCTCGTGCTTTGTACGTCCCAAAAGCCCCTTGCAACCCACCTACCCACGCTCGTGAAGTATCAGATCCGTATCAGACAAACTCGCCTCTCACGCTTTTGGTATCCCTGCTTCAACCCGGCTCCATTCGAAGATGGACCATTCCCCTCGTCATGCCACCCCTGATCATGGCCAAGCTGAGCCAGGTGCGTGCAGTCAATACTCATGGCCCTCTGACAAGTCCACACCGCACCTCACCTTGCATTGCCTGTGGCTTCGCAGCTCTCTGGCCTGCGTGGCTCACCTCGTCTGCAAACGGTGACTGAGCTCGGTATCCTGGGCCTCATGGTACGTTCACCTCAAGGGAGCACGCTTCGACCGCCCCCGCTTCCCCCGCATGCCTTCTGACCCTGGTTTCTTCTGCTGTCTCTTGCTAGACGTTGGTATTTGTGCCGCCTGCCCTGGCTGTATTCCCTCAACGCGACTCTCTACCAGTGGACAAAGTGGAGCCTGAATTTCAGAAATTGCCCGGTGTCGATCGTGTCTTCTTCAACAAGGGCCTATAAGCTCCTTTCACTTGATTTTTACCCCATTATCGCACCAAAGCCCTCGTCAAGCCCGTGCTGCCAGAACCATAGTGTCTTCGTTCATTCCTGCCAATCCCATTCCATTTTTGATGATACGTCATAATTTCGTCATGATGTCTCAACTCTCTCAAATTCTCAAATTCTCTCACGCTCTTTCAGACTCTCTCAAATCCTGTGGTTTTCTCCTTTAAGGAAACACTCCTTCTTTTTTTTTTCCTCTCTCTCTCTCTCTCTCTCTCTCTCTCTCTCTCTCTCTCTCTCTCTCTCTCTCTCTCTCTCTTTCTCTCTGTTGAAAGCAATAATTATTGACATTCAACACGGACGGACGGAACCGGAAGCATGCTGCGGCGTGTGGCGGCATTCACGGCCATGACGGCGCGCTCGAGAGCTTGGCAGCCTTTTGGCTTGACTCAACTCTTGTCCAGGCGGATGAGGTCTAGTGGTGTTACGCCGGCAGTTGAGGCGTTGCTTCAACGAGGTCAAAATGCCCCTTTCAACTCGTTCGTCGTACCCTCCAGCGCCCTCGCTGACGCCCCTGTCGAGCAGGTAAGACGCCCCACGGACAGTCACGAACCACGTGCCAACGCTGCCACCTGTGGTTGAGCTGTTTGCGCTGATCAATAATGCCCCACCTTTTGGGTGAACCATGCCATACAGGCCCAAGCGGACCTGAGCGCGCTCGAGGCCCACTGTCGGCAAAAAAACATGTCTGCGCTCTGGCTTGACGTCAAGCTGCAGCACGCTGCTCTGGTGGAAACGGCGGGCAAGCTAGGTTACGAGCTACATCATGCCCACCATGGCACCATCATGCTGTACAAGTGGCTACGCGACGGCGAATGTCTCATCCCGCCCTTTGCAACACATCAGGTCTCCTCGCACAACTCGGTTGTCCACTATATGTGCCATCACAGCCACTGGAGTACCCGACAAACGCCTGCGTGTCTGACACCTCACATGACGCTTCGTGTATGATTGACATGGCTTCTTTTAAACAACTATTCGACTTCTTTAGGTTGGTGTGGCGGGCTTCTGCACCAATGAGAAAAATGAAGTGCTCGTGATTAAGGAGCGTCACTCCTCAGTCAACGGGTACAAGCTGCCCGGTGGACTTGCCGACCCTGGTGAAAACATTGACGCCGCAGCTTTGCGGGAGGTTCAGGAGGAGACGGGTGTTCAAGCCACCTTCCACTCCCTCCTTGCTTTTCGACAGCAACACGGCATGCGCTTCGGCATCTCGGATCTCTATTTTGTGTGCCGCTGCACCGCCGCCGAGGCCGTGATATCCCATTGCCCAGTCGAGATTGCGGAAGCCAAATGGATGAGCATCGATGACTACTGCCTTCAGACTTCCCACATGAATGCACTCATTGCCCGTGCTGTGCAAGCGGAGCTGGAGGGCCACAACCCCATCTCACGCGCATGCGACATTGCTCAGTTTGAACTGCCTTCCGTCGTGCGTCGCGATCTGACCTATCGCCTTTTCCTACCCGACACAGCTGCGCGTCACTTGCAGGTTGATGACCCATGGCATGGCCAGCCCCATGAGAAGATTGAGCGGTTCTGATCATGATGTGACATCGCAGCAGCTGCCACATATACATCCCCGTAATTGAAGCAAATTAATGGTGCTTTATTTTTCTTGGATCTTCACCGATAAGCTGCGGTCAAATCTCTTCACCATCCCTTGCGCCTACGACTCTATGCGCGCAAAATTTGTGGAGCACCAATATGCCCATGAGGAGTCAACTTAGAAACAAGCAACCATCCATATGCCATTCTTAGAATACCCACCTCGATGAGAAGACCATGCTCAATTTTCAGGGTCCAAGGCCAAGGCTTCTTCTTCGGCCATGTTCATATGCCTCTTCTTCTTGCGTGGCAAATTTTACAGCCATTTGAGAGCCAGCTAAGGCAAGCATGGGGGGGGCTCGTACCTGTTGGGTATTTGGTCTCAATCATTCGAGCTGGCCGCTCATTCATACATTTCACCTCATTTTTACGGGTAATATTATTATAATTTTCATGTTGATTTCGCCGTGGAAGGAGACAAGCTAGGCAAAGAGGACCAGAGGACAACCTCACAGGCCTGGAGCGTTTTGGCAGGCGGGGTTTTTGCATTTGCCTTGAATTGAGTACCGAGAACCTTCGGAGGAAGAACACCATCACTACGTAAATCAGAAATGAGAAGACAACCTGGTTTCATCCTCTCTTTCCATACACTGATGTGCTATTTGGGTATTTGGGCTCGCAATTTGGCTTGAACGTTCAATACCATACGTGTCCTCACATGATCGGCACCGCATCTATACAAAATGGATGGCGCCCCTGGCGTCCTGGGTTAAATTTGAAGATCTGACACGGTTGAGATGAATTCTGTTGATGACATAAAAAACTGGCTAGACCACATGCCCACAAGCGACGCCAAAAAAAAATTATTCGTTGGTCGGAGTACAACAGGCACACATCAATCAGAATACACAACAGACGAACTCTTCACAGAAGCTTCTCCTACGATTTGTCGAGCAGAAATGCTTTATAAATTTGCAAAAGCTGATGGGACTTGCAGACGGCCGACGTCACGCAAATGTCGCGCCTGCTCCGATTCCCGCAGCTCGGGAATGTTGAGCCGTCCAATCCGTGCTGCTTCGTTCACATTGTGCCTTGTTGTTTGCTCACGACTGAGTGCATTCAAATGCTCGAACATCCCAACTGCATCGTCTGCAATCTCATTCAGGGCTCGAGCGACCTCCAGATCATCGTCCTCACCAAAATCGGACTCATCGCGGTGCTGTTCCAGCATGGCCAGTAAGGCCGCTGGATTTACATCATCATTGTCGTAAACGGGATTCTCCATCGCCGTTGGCAAAACCACGGATCCCTCATCGTCGGCCTCACTAACATCCATAAACTCAATCTGAGCCTCTTCCGCGTACTCTGCGTATGCCTCCAGCTCGTCGTTGTCATACAAGGGCTCTTCGACGGCTCGCGGTACTTCAAAGGCGGACACTTGCGATGCATGTGATGCCTTGCGAGCTCGAACTTCGGCAGAGGTGACATAATGTGATTCGTCACGCTCGCTCGCATCATCGCTCTCTGCTGCCATCAAAGTTTCGCCGGCCAGCGCATCCTGCGGATTTTCGTAGTCCTAAATAAAACAACAACAAAAAACAAAACACGCCAGCAAAGCTCATTATTCGGCACAGAAGCATGGCAAACAACACGAACAAACACATACCAGCGGGATGCGTACCGTATGCATGCCTAAGGGCGATGAGAACACTCGGGAGGACCGTGGGGTCGTCTGAACTTGATCATAAAGGTCATCGTCACGCGCCGTCACTGTTTCATACTCGGCAATCTCGGGGGCGGCTTCTTTAACTTCTAAGCTGTCTGCAGCAAAGTCGGGAGGAGATACATAGGACAAATGGAGTGCCGGCACTTCTTCAGTGACTTCGTGTGTGTCATCCAAGTCAAATACTGGAGGTGCAATGTACGGTGGTAGTGGGCTCGGAGGTGGGTGCAATTGTGCTTCGAGCGCGGCGCGCAAAAAGTCGACAACATCGGTGTGCCCACCCTCTTCTGCAGCGTCGATCGGGGCTTGTTCTTCGTTGTTCTTTACGTCGATGGTGCAGGCTGCCTCCACCAACAGCACAACCACGGGCAAGAATCCGCCACGCGCCGCATGATGCAACGCTACGCAGCCCTGACTATCACAAGCATCTGTGGCCGGCAAGCTTTTTTGGAACAAACGACGTACTGCGTCAACATGACCGTGTCGACATGCACAATGTAGAGGCGTCCACTGCTCAGCAGCAGTGGTCCAGCGTGCGCAGCTCTGGCTGGCCGCCAAAAGCAGAGATACAATGTCCGCTTCGCCTTGCAAGCAGGCCAGGTGCAGAGGTGTATACCCGGCTACATCACACACATCCGTGCGTGCCCCTGCTTGCAGCAACAATGTGACTAGCGCCTCATGGCCCTCACACGCCGCAAAATGCAGCGCTGTATTGTGAAACTTGGTGCTGGCTTGATCAACACTGGCGCCATTTCGCAGTAAGCATGCTGCTGCCTGAACTGAGCCAGATCGAGCTGCAACGTGAAGTGGAGTCAGCTCCTGCGTTTGGTCCTCGCCATGTACAAGACTTTCTACGTCTTGAAAATCTTCCAGCACCTTCTCGATGCCTTCCACGTCGTCATTTAGGCAGCACACACGCAGCACGACACCGGGATGAGTCGATAGGCCATGCAACAGGTCCTCAGATACGTCCAAATACTGTGAACTCTTGCGTTTGGCCCCCGATTTGTGCGCGTCAGCAACGTCGCTGGATTCGTCAGGCAACACGGCGAAGGTCGTCATTTCAAAGCCAAACGTGCTGAGCAAAGTGGCCGTGGGAGCTGCCACGCTTGGGCGCCGACTTTCTTCAGCAACGTGCATGTATCCTTCAGAAGCACTGTCATCTTCAATAACGCTCGGGCGCTGCGTTGAGGGCACAATGGCCGTTGGTGGGCGCTTCAAAGCCTCCTCTGCAAGCAGAAAGTCTGCAAACGCCGGATGTAAAACCGTTCGCGTTCCCCATTCGTACCGTACCCGCCCAGTGCTTTGTGGGAAAGCAATCTTGCGGCGAGGCTGTAGCGCAGTGCTTGGTGCCACCTCCTACACTCAATCCCAGCGCAAGCAGCCCATCAGTTATAAGTTCATCAATCATGATTTGGATCACAACCGAAGCAGGCACGTGAAACAAGCCAAGCGAAATATAACGTACGATATTCTCTTCGATGGCCCACCAGAAGTAATGCCCGTGAGGGGTAACCAGCGAGCTGATTTTGGACCGGCGACTGCGCACCAACGCCAGCAGAAGAAAAAGTAGCAAAAATAGGGCAAGGATGCCACCAACAACACCACCCACAACGGCATCTGATAGAGCATTGGACGTGCTCAGCAGGGTGTGAGCCTTGTCACAAGTTCCAGGCCCATTTTCAAAGCCACAGTCGCTCGCATAGGTGCCATCCTCGCAAGCGGTACAACCTGAATACAAAGGAAAGCAAACGTGTGTTAAAAGCAAGATGGGACGCAATCAACAAACAAACAACAGAGCTAGGACATGAACATACGAAGACAAATTGAGGATTGACTCAGTGTGCATGAGCCAGATGGAAATTCGAAAGAAGGACAAGATGAAGCCGAGGCACAAAGGCCAGCTCTCAGTTTGCAGGTGATGGTGTCCATCGTATTGTTGAAGCGCAGCAGCGGGTTGTATCCCGCCACAACGCCGCTCGATACCACCTCCCTCGCGTTGGCACTGGTGGGCAGAGATGGACGATCAACCGTGACGACCAACTCGGCGCCATTGGCATAGGGCGAACGTTCGGCGCCAACCAAGAACCTCGGCTCACTCGTCTCGAGAGTGACCTGGATAATGCTCAAGCCAACTCCCGTCGCAACCAAGCTCGTCGGCACTCGCACTTGCCACAGCCCGGCATCGCCCCCACTCTCACCACTAGCATTGCCTGGCATCGCCTCAAACACCACACCTGTCAACTCTGCTGATGCCGACTTGTTCGCCGTCCAAAAACGCCCAACGCTCTCCAGACCAGCACTTGCCGCCAGCATCCGACCCACGGTCTCATTGCCGCGCAGGCTCTCACCCCCCTCAAAGTCGACATAGATGCGCGTGGTATCATATGACGCCGCCATGCCCCCTGCACCCACAACATGCAGGCTGATGACGAGCTCGCACGCTGTCGTAGCTGCCACCTCGTCCACGTGCGTACCTCGCACAAACCGCCACAATCCAAATACAACCTGGTTCACATAGATGGCATCGCGTGGGTTGATCTCGCCATTCTGATCCGCATCCAGCTCTCCTTGACTGTAGTTATTCCCACTTAACGCTGCAAGAATCTGTGCGCCCTGCGCGCCGACAAAGTTGGAGAATCTATTGTTGTAGTACTGCAACAGAAACTGCGTGTCCCGCACGCTCAAGATACCATCACCATTCACGTCACCCACGCGCTCATAGCCTGTCGCCACTGTGCCCGCGCGTCGTTGACGCATTGTGGCCAATGTTGCCGATTGCATGGCATTTCCTGCGCGCCTGCGCCGGTCGGACCCGAGCTGGATCTCGATACGCCCCGCAACAAAACTGCGCGGTGTCTCCAAACCGATATCCGCAGCATCTACACTGGATTGGCTGAGCGTTGTTACCACGCCCGACACCGTTGTTGTGCCACTGCCGACAACTTCAAACGTAAGGCTTGCCACTTGCACACGCGTGCCTTGCACCGCGCCCGCCGTGACCGTGCCGCCAAACACCACGCGATTCTCATCAAAGCGTGCAGAAAAGATCCCATCCACCGAAGCCACCGCCTCGGTAGCTGCGAGGGCCTCCGGATCAAAGAGTACCTCAAATGCATACGCACCCGCCGATGCACCGCCGGTGTTGACGTAGACACCAAGCGTGAAACTAGTGCCGACGCTCTGACTGGCAGGCACGGGAAGACCCGCATCTGCACCGAGGTCCACGTCGCCGACATCGGCGTCCAGGTTGCCCGCCACACTCACACTAGCCGAAACGCTGCTGTTGCTTCGGGCAATGATGCGCAATTCAATTTCATTGCCTGCATTGCCACGCAATGTGACTCGACCTGTAGTTGCATCTACATCAAGAACATCGGAGCGGCTTGAAGTAAACTCCACCAGTCCTGGAATGAGAACACCACTGCTTCCTGGAAACATGTCGCTCAGCTGCCGTCCGTCACTCAAAGTACAACTCGCGCGAAGTCGACTGCTTGCCTCATCCACCACACCTCTCAGTGTGTTGCCGCTGTCTAGCCGAAAGCCAGAAAAGCTTGACACAAACACCGGCGCCGACGTAAAAGTCAGAGGCATGCCCACGCTTGAGTTGACCTGGCGACGACCAGAGGCGCCATAGGTCGCAAATAGCGTGACCATGGCGTCTGTTGTTAAAGCACTACTAAGGTTGGTTCCAACAACATATTGACCCGAGCTACGCATTAACAAAGGTAAGCTTGCGGAGACTGCAGCGCCTGCTGGGGTGAGGACAAAGTCACTGCTTGCCGCCATTGAAATGTCCAACTTGGCCCCGCTTGACAAGATCAGGTTAGCCGAGACAATGGCCTGTTGATATTGCAAAGGTTGGCTGCCGCTGTAGGGGGCCAATGTGTCGGCTTGCACGTCGCGGCTACCGCTATAACTCGGATATGGATGCACGCTCATCTCAACATCCGATCCACTGACGACACTTAGATTGAACGTGGTGCTGATGGGCTCATGAACAAAACCAATGCGTACCATGACCGTGCCGCTCTGACCAGCAGCATCTGGACGAGCCAGAATGACAAAGGCGCCGCCATCCACTTGCGAAAGGGAAACCAAGTGATTGTCGCCCATCAACTCTACCACCGTCCGATTGTCGTTTGTGGCGTCGACTTGACGCTGGCCAGGGTAGATCAAAGCAACGCGAAGCTGAGCCTCCACAGCAATGCCAGCAACGCTTGCCGGATCATCGCCCGAAGCAATTACAGTGGCCGAACTGTCGATCATCACACTTTCGGCCGGGGGAACAGCAACTCTCACTTCAATGTCTCCACGACCTATTAAGCGGCTGGGACACGCTGCGCTTGCTGCACTGAGCCACACCGCCTCCAAAAGCCCACCTTCGCTATTCACAGCATCACGAACCACAGCAATCGTCTGTGTCGCATCCACCGACAGTGAAGCAGGGGCGAGGCTGTGCACAGACACATTGCCGTCTGAAGATTGGAGCACCGCCGGCTCGACAGAAAGCGGCATACGAGTCCCGTCGTCAAATACGGCGCTCACCAGAACGTTGGCATCAACGATGCCCTCCTCGCTTAAAGAATCCCGTCGTAGCGTGACATCCACTAGATCGGTGCCATTCGCACCCTCACCCGCTCGAAGTGATACGTCAACGTCGTGCACGAGTATGGCATCCAAGCCCAAAACCACTATGGGCGAGACGTCGTGTGGGCCCACAATGATGGTGTCGCTGTGACCCAGCAATGCCCCGTCTGAGGCCCGTCGAGCCTCAACAACAACTGAGCCTTCTGCCACTCCTTGCACCATTGGCGCACCAACTAGCCGGCGCATCTTGGCCACACCAGTCTCGTTTACGTACAGGCTGGCCGCTAGCAAATCCGTCACAACCACACGCTCCGAGTCGCCGTTGCCGAGCGAGAACCGTGCCCGCACTTCGACCGTGCCTGTCTGGTACTGAAATTTGTTGCAATCAGCAATGTTTGTAATGCTGGGGTCTATCCACTCGGCCACAGGATGCAGCTCAGCTCGATCAACCAACACCTCCACAGGAAGCTCGGGCGCCCACACTGCAGCCTTGATGCTGCTCCTCAGATTCTCTGCCACACCAACCTGCGTCAAAGACACGTCAACAATGCCAATGCCAGCGTTGCTGTGACTGCTATTCATAAAGATGGAATGGCAATCCACGCTCACGCCAAAAGGAGCAGCTGGAAGCCCATCCCCCGAACCGTTGCAGCTCAAGCTCAAAGCGGAATCCTCTTGCGAGAAGCCAACAAAGCGTTGCAGATCTTTGCGGCGCACAATCAGATGTGCAAGCTCGCGCTCCTCGACATTGCCTGTCAAAATGGCCGTATTGATCAGCTCTACGCTGTCTGGTAGATAGCTGACCAAGCCTACCACGCGTTCACCGCTCACTACCACAACGTGACCCAAGCCATGGCCACCAGCCTCCACGCGACCATATCGTGTTGCCAGCTCTGCACCAGCCATGTCGTTGATGACTTCCTGCCCATTCACATCGCTTAAGAACAAAGTCATCAACGTCACGCCCACTTCACGCTCTTCTGCAAAACCAAGGCCAAGCTCGGTCTCAGTACGCACAACCAAGTGCAATTGGCCCAGCAATTGCAGGCCAGCCGAACTGCCGGTCCCAGAACGGATAAAAGTACCAGTGACATTGCGCGAATCGAGGGCCAAGACTTCACCTGTCCAGCCAGAACTTCCAGTAAAGCCATCAATCACCAATCCCTCATCAACAGCCGCACTGAAACTAAATGCTTGCAAACTTCGCGACCACATGCCAAAAACAGGAACATCAAAAGTTTCTTCCGGCAGCAATTGACGCATAGGCAGCTCTGCCAGCAATCCACCGGCTTCCAAAGCCGGGCTAGCCACAGTTGCTGCTGGACCCAGGGCTCGCAGCAATACGGTAGTCCCATTGGAGCGGATTGTGGGCTGCTCGCCGATACTGGCATACAGCTGTGCGCTGCCACCATCTTGAAGGCCGGTGCCGTTAATGTCTATGCGATTCAGCAGCCAGCTGCTTGGCAACTGCAGTTGTACGATACAAGCGCCTGTCGCGGCGCTCGCTGTGCATGACCCATTGACATGGCGAGGGAGCACAGCGGCGTCAACGTCGTCTGATAGCTTTAGGGACGCTCGTAGCTCTCTTGAACCGCCGAATATTACTGATCCTCTAGCGGCTCGGCCTTGTACAACTGCCGTGACGCTGACGTCTTCTGGACACGCCTCTTGCATTGTTAAGCTCGCAACGCTAACCTTTGAGGCTGCAGGCATTGCTTTTGTCAAAGTACGAACGGCAGCTGAAGCCGAGCCATCCAACTGTAATAAAACATTTTGCTCTCCCAAAGCAAGCGAAAGACCACTGGAGAGAAAAGAAACTGTCGTAGATTCCACAACTGCCCCCAAGTCTTGTGTGCTCGCATTTTGCCATGCTGGGCTAAGAAGGGTCTCCACGAATGCCGCTGATTCAGGCATTGGCAAAACAGAAGAGCGAACGCCAAATGCTCCAACGATGGATGGATAGTACGTGGTGTTCAACAGTAAGCATTCACTCTTCTCTGCCAGTGAACATTGTCCAGCAATGGCCCGAGCAGCCGCACAAGGTCCGATAGCACATATGCCAGCTTCCAGTTTGCAGGTGATGGTGTCCATCGTATTGTTGAAGCGCAGCAGCGGATTGTATCCCGCCACAACGCCGCTCGATACCACCTCCCTCGCGTTGGCACTGGTGGGCAGAGATGGACGATCAACCGTGACGACCAACTCGGCGCCATTGGCATAGGGCGAACGTTCGGCGCCAACCAAGAACCTCGGCTCACTCGTCTCGAGAGTGACCTGGATAATGCTCAAGCCAACTCCCGTCGCAACCAAGCTCGTCGGCACTCGCACTTGCCACAGCCCGGCATCGCCCCCACTCTCACCACTAGCATTGCCTGGCATCGCCTCAAACACCACACCTGTCAACTCTGCTGATGCCGACTTGTTCGCCGTCCAAAAACGCCCAACGCTCTCCAGACCAGCACTTGCCGCCAGCATCCGACCCACGGTCTCATTGCCGCGCAGGCTCTCACCCCCCTCAAAGTCGACATAGATGCGCGTGGTATCATATGACGCCGCCATGCCCCCTGCACCCACAACATGCAGGCTGATGACGAGCTCGCACGCTGTCGTAGCTGCCACCTCGTCCACGTGCGTACCTCGCACAAACCGCCACAATCCAAATACAACCTGGTTCACATAGATGGCATCGCGTGGGTTGATCTCGCCATTCTGATCCGCATCCAGCTCTCCTTGACTGTAGTTATTCCCACTTAACGCTGCAAGAATCTGTGCGCCCTGCGCGCCGACAAAGTTGGAGAATCTATTGTTGTAGTACTGCAACAGAAACTGCGTGTCCCGCACGCTCAAGATACCATCACCATTCACGTCACCCACGCGCTCATAGCCTGTCGCCACTGTGCCCGCGCGTCGTTGACGCATTGTGGCCAATGTTGCCGATTGCATGGCATTTCCTGCGCGCCTGCGCCGGTCGGACCCGAGCTGGATCTCGATACGCCCCGCAACAAAACTGCGCGGTGTCTCCAAACCGATATCCGCAGCATCTACACTGGATTGGCTGAGCGTTGTTACCACGCCCGACACCGTTGTTGTGCCACTGCCGACAACTTCAAACGTAAGGCTTGCCACTTGCACACGCGTGCCTTGCACCGCGCCCGCCGTGACCGTGCCGCCAAACACCACGCGATTCTCATCAAAGCGTGCAGAAAAGATCCCATCCACCGAAGCCACCGCCTCGGTAGCTGCGAGGGCCTCCGGATCAAAGAGTACCTCAAATGCATACGCACCCGCCGATGCACCGCCGGTGTTGACGTAGACACCAAGCGTGAAACTAGTGCCGACGCTCTGACTGGCAGGCACGGGAAGACCCGCATCTGCACCGAGGTCCACGTCGCCGACATCGGCGTCCAGGTTGCCCGCCACACTCACACTAGCCGAAACGCTGCTGTTGCTTCGGGCAATGATGCGCAATTCAATTTCATTGCCTGCATTGCCACGCAATGTGACTCGACCTGTAGTTGCATCTACATCAAGAACATCGGAGCGGCTTGAAGTAAACTCCACCAGTCCTGGAATGAGAACACCACTGCTTCCTGGAAACATGTCGCTCAGCTGCCGTCCGTCACTCAAAGTACAACTCGCGCGAAGTCGACTGCTTGCCTCATCCACCACACCTCTCAGTGTGTTGCCGCTGTCTAGCCGAAAGCCAGAAAAGCTTGACACAAACACCGGCGCCGACGTAAAAGTCAGAGGCATGCCCACGCTTGAGTTGACCTGGCGACGACCAGAGGCGCCATAGGTCGCAAATAGCGTGACCATGGCGTCTGTTGTTAAAGCACTACTAAGGTTGGTTCCAACAACATATTGACCCGAGCTACGCATTAACAAAGGTAAGCTTGCGGAGACTGCAGCGCCTGCTGGGGTGAGGACAAAGTCACTGCTTGCCGCCATTGAAATGTCCAACTTGGCCCCGCTTGACAAGATCAGGTTAGCCGAGACAATGGCCTGTTGATATTGCAAAGGTTGGCTGCCGCTGTAGGGGGCCAATGTGTCGGCTTGCACGTCGCGGCTACCGCTATAACTCGGATATGGATGCACGCTCATCTCAACATCCGATCCACTGACGACACTTAGATTGAACGTGGTGCTGATGGGCTCATGAACAAAACCAATGCGTACCATGACCGTGCCGCTCTGACCAGCAGCATCTGGACGAGCCAGAATGACAAAGGCGCCGCCATCCACTTGCGAAAGGGAAACCAAGTGATTGTCGCCCATCAACTCTACCACCGTCCGATTGTCGTTTGTGGCGTCGACTTGACGCTGGCCAGGGTAGATCAAAGCAACGCGAAGCTGAGCCTCCACAGCAATGCCAGCAACGCTTGCCGGATCATCGCCCGAAGCAATTACAGTGGCCGAACTGTCGATCATCACACTTTCGGCCGGGGGAACAGCAACTCTCACTTCAATGTCTCCACGACCTATTAAGCGGCTGGGACACGCTGCGCTTGCTGCACTGAGCCACACCGCCTCCAAAAGCCCACCTTCGCTATTCACAGCATCACGAACCACAGCAATCGTCTGTGTCGCATCCACCGACAGTGAAGCAGGGGCGAGGCTGTGCACAGACACATTGCCGTCTGAAGATTGGAGCACCGCCGGCTCGACAGAAAGCGGCATACGAGTCCCGTCGTCAAATACGGCGCTCACCAGAACGTTGGCATCAACGATGCCCTCCTCGCTTAAAGAATCCCGTCGTAGCGTGACATCCACTAGATCGGTGCCATTCGCACCCTCACCCGCTCGAAGTGATACGTCAACGTCGTGCACGAGTATGGCATCCAAGCCCAAAACCACTATGGGCGAGACGTCGTGTGGGCCCACAATGATGGTGTCGCTGTGACCCAGCAATGCCCCGTCTGAGGCCCGTCGAGCCTCAACAACAACTGAGCCTTCTGCCACTCCTTGCACCATTGGCGCACCAACTAGCCGGCGCATCTTGGCCACACCAGTCTCGTTTACGTACAGGCTGGCCGCTAGCAAATCCGTCACAACCACACGCTCCGAGTCGCCGTTGCCGAGCGAGAACCGTGCCCGCACTTCGACCGTGCCTGTCTGGTACTGAAATTTGTTGCAATCAGCAATGTTTGTAATGCTGGGGTCTATCCACTCGGCCACAGGATGCAGCTCAGCTCGATCAACCAACACCTCCACAGGAAGCTCGGGCGCCCACACTGCAGCCTTGATGCTGCTCCTCAGATTCTCTGCCACACCAACCTGCGTCAAAGACACGTCAACAATGCCAATGCCAGCGTTGCTGTGACTGCTATTCATAAAGATGGAATGGCAATCCACGCTCACGCCAAAAGGAGCAGCTGGAAGCCCATCCCCCGAACCGTTGCAGCTCAAGCTCAAAGCGGAATCCTCTTGCGAGAAGCCAACAAAGCGTTGCAGATCTTTGCGGCGCACAATCAGATGTGCAAGCTCGCGCTCCTCGACATTGCCTGTCAAAATGGCCGTATTGATCAGCTCTACGCTGTCTGGTAGATAGCTGACCAAGCCTACCACGCGTTCACCGCTCACTACCACAACGTGACCCAAGCCATGGCCACCAGCCTCCACGCGACCATATCGTGTTGCCAGCTCTGCACCAGCCATGTCGTTGATGACTTCCTGCCCATTCACATCGCTTAAGAACAAAGTCATCAACGTCACGCCCACTTCACGCTCTTCTGCAAAACCAAGGCCAAGCTCGGTCTCAGTACGCACAACCAAGTGCAATTGGCCCAGCAATTGCAGGCCAGCCGAACTGCCGGTCCCAGAACGGATAAAAGTACCAGTGACATTGCGCGAATCGAGGGCCAAGACTTCACCTGTCCAGCCAGAACTTCCAGTAAAGCCATCAATCACCAATCCCTCATCAACAGCCGCACTGAAACTAAATGCTTGCAAACTTCGCGACCACATGCCAAAAACAGGAACATCAAAAGTTTCTTCCGGCAGCAATTGACGCATAGGCAGCTCTGCCAGCAATCCACCGGCTTCCAAAGCCGGGCTAGCCACAGTTGCTGCTGGACCCAGGGCTCGCAGCAATACGGTAGTCCCATTGGAGCGGATTGTGGGCTGCTCGCCGATACTGGCATACAGCTGTGCGCTGCCACCATCTTGAAGGCCGGTGCCGTTAATGTCTATGCGATTCAGCAGCCAGCTGCTTGGCAACTGCAGTTGTACGATACAAGCGCCTGTCGCGGCGCTCGCTGTGCATGACCCATTGACATGGCGAGGGAGCACAGCGGCGTCAACGTCGTCTGATAGCTTTAAGGACGCTTGTAACTCAATGTCGCTTGGCATCTGCCGTTGCGATTCTCGTTCAACGGAAAGCACAACGCTTGTATCCAATGAATCGGGTGTCACGTCGACCTTCAAAATGTGTGCATGTGTTGCAACCACGGCAGCTATCCTGGGTGGCTGCGAAATGGAATAGGACTGTGACGAGATGGATGGGATGTCGAATGACATCGAACGTGAGAATGGATCGGCACGGACGGTACTTTTGAACTCGACGGGTGATTCTAGGCTAGTCGAGTTGATGTAAAGAGTGCTGTCAACAAGAAGACCACTCGTGGTAACAAGTGGAAAAGGCAGTATTCCGTGCAGAGGAGCGGGGTCAACTGCAACTTGTACAAGGCCGCGTCCCAGGACCTTGCCAGCCGTGCCACTCGCGTCACAGTGCTCAGCACCGTTCGAGATGTTGCCCGAGCGCCAAACCACCTCTAACAAACCGCCATGGTCTGCCAGCGCACCTGCAACAACCTCGACACCATAACCATTGTCGAGCACAGCCACCGTGGCTGGGGCTATACTCTGCATGACCAGCTCGCCATCTTGCGGTGAGCGCCACCCAAACGCGCTGCCGCCCAGCGTCAAGGGAAGGCGGGTCTCATCATCCAACAGCGCAGATACCAAAACAGCGCCTGGCGCCTCGCCCACCCGATACAGCTCCTCACGTTCAATGGTAAGCACAATGCTCGTGTTGGCCTCGGGTCCCATCCTCACGGGCAAGGCCAGCCGCGCCTCCAGGCCAGTCACATAGATGGCTTCCAGCCCAAGCACGTTCACTCGACCCAGGTCGCTGCACAACAGTGTCTCGCTGCTCGCCAGCACGGAGCTGCTGATCGACGTATCCTGTCCCAGCTCAAGGACAAAGGCTCCGGGTGCAATGCCCTGCACAAAAACCAAATTCGCACTCATGCCCGTACCCACAGACGGACCGAATCGCCGCATCGTGGCGATCGATGTGTCATTGCTCCGAAGTCGTGCCCCGACTATCGCCGTCACATCGACCGGTGCACTGGTCAGAACACCACCGCTGCCGGTAACGGCTTGCAGCGTTGCCGTCACCCGAACACGACACCACTCATACTGATAATCCTGACACGCCGCCTCATCGCCAACACTTGCCGGCAGCAAGTCCGTCACGCGTCGCAGCGTCGATTTCTCCGCAACGACTTCACTCTCGCCAACCACAAATATGCTCGCGCTCACAACGCACTCCTTGTTTTGCGAGCTCTCCGTGGTCGCACTTCCATCACGGCGCACGGCCCGAACCGTCAGTGCCAAGCTGCTCGCCGCCGTCCCCGTGCTGTGGCTCCCATTGACAATCAGCTCCAAGCAGCTGGCACTCAGATGGCCATACCCGTTCTCCACGTTTGCGCTGCCTGAGCAACTCAGGTCCACTCCAGCGTGCCCAGCCACCTCACCAGAGCCATATAGCACTATGTCGCGAGTCAACCCGACCTGGCGTAGTAAACGCTCACATTGAACTGATCCGGTACACCCGTCAGGCCCGAAAAGCTGCTCACCGCGTCGTCCTCGAGCACAGCAAACGCCGCCAACACGGCTCGTCCACTGCCCATCACCATTGTGCCTGTACCAGTACTCGAACCCGCGCTCTGTAAGCCGTATGCATCCTGTACCACACTGACATCCACGCCCAACGCGTTGCCGGCCAGGTCCGTCATGCCAATCACCGTCGCCGCGACACTGACATTCATCGTCTCCAACACATCGAGCTGTGCCTGGACCGTCGTGTTCACGTCGAGCAGTAGCCAGCCCAACTCGACAATCTCGGTCCGCGGCCCGCTCACGCCCAGCTGCGTCAAGACCACCATGCCCGTGCTCGCAGCCACGCTCGCCAGAGCCGTCGGGTCAACCGGTGCCAGAGGCTCAAACCCTGATACCACAAACGCTTGATGCTCAAAGCTGACGCTCATCGTCAGACTATCGAGCCCGGCCGCGCTCACACGCGTGCTCAACAAAACACGCGCCGCACCCGATGCGTCCTCTACGCTGCTATACGGCAGCGTAACGTGCAGACTACCCGCCGCAGTCGCGCTTCGTGCCGAAACCACGGCGCTCCCCTCGGGCCGTAGCGTCAGTCGCCCAAACGATGAGCTCACCGTGCCGCTGGCCGTGGTCAGCCCAAAGACGGGTACCACGCGCGTGCCCAGTAGGCTGCCCGCAGCAACATACGATGGCTCCGAATACCATGCGGCCGGCACCTCCAGGCTCACCACGCAGGTCCCAGTACCGGGTGCCAACTGACACCCCTGCACCAGCGCCGCCTCGCCCGCCACGTCTGAAGGCTTGACCACGCGCGCATAGGCTGTCACCCCACCACCCGTGAGCTGTCGGCCGTTGCGGTCTAGGCCCCGCAGGAGCACCCGGATCTCGGTAATAGATGGCCACAGAATCGGGGTCAGCATCTGCACCTGGACGGTATGCAGCTGGCTTTGGGTGTTGTTGGCGCTCACTGCTGGTACCGCCGAAGCATCCACCACCGCGGACATCTCCCCCAGTCCTAACGTGACAGTGCCCTCACCCAACTCAAGCTCTCGGCGATAGTCAGACACCGAGCCAACCACATATCCCACTGGTCGAACAAGTGAGCTACCGTCGGTAGCCATGCTAGCATTCAAAAATGACGAGGGAAATTCGATGTCCTGTGCATCAAGTCGGCTTCCGATATGTGGCGAATAAAGGCCACTGATCGGTACGGCCCCAGAGTCAATGCCATTCAGTTGCTGCGGGGCAAACACGTTCACGGCAACTTGAACAAGGCCGCGTCCCAGGACCTTGCCAGCCGTGCCACTCGCGTCACAGTGCTCAGCACCGTTCGAGATGTTGCCCGAGCGCCAAACCACCTCTAACAAACCGCCATGGTCTGCCAGCGCACCTGCAACAACCTCGACACCATAACCATTGTCGAGCACAGCCACCGTGGCTGGGGCTATACTCTGCATGACCAGCTCGCCATCTTGCGGTGAGCGCCACCCAAACGCGCTGCCGCCCAGCGTCAAGGGAAGGCGGGTCTCATCATCCAACAGCGCAGATACCAAAACAGCGCCTGGCGCCTCGCCCACCCGATACAGCTCCTCACGTTCAATGGTAAGCACAATGCTCGTGTTGGCCTCGGGTCCCATCCTCACGGGCAAGGCCAGCCGCGCCTCCAGGCCAGTCACATAGATGGCTTCCAGCCCAAGCACGTTCACTCGACCCAGGTCGCTGCACAACAGTGTCTCGCTGCTCGCCAGCACGGAGCTGCTGATCGACGTATCCTGTCCCAGCTCAAGGACAAAGGCTCCGGGTGCAATGCCCTGCACAAAAACCAAATTCGCACTCATGCCCGTACCCACAGACGGACCGAATCGCCGCATCGTGGCGATCGATGTGTCATTGCTCCGAAGTCGTGCCCCGACTATCGCCGTCACATCGACCGGTGCACTGGTCAGAACACCACCGCTGCCGGTAACGGCTTGCAGCGTTGCCGTCACCCGAACACGACACCACTCATACTGATAATCCTGACACGCCGCCTCATCGCCAACACTTGCCGGCAGCAAGTCCGTCACGCGTCGCAGCGTCGATTTCTCCGCAACGACTTCACTCTCGCCAACCACAAATATGCTCGCGCTCACAACGCACTCCTTGTTTTGCGAGCTCTCCGTGGTCGCACTTCCATCACGGCGCACGGCCCGAACCGTCAGTGCCAAGCTGCTCGCCGCCGTCCCCGTGCTGTGGCTCCCATTGACAATCAGCTCCAAGCAGCTGGCACTCAGATGGCCATACCCGTTCTCCACGTTTGCGCTGCCTGAGCAACTCAGGTCCACTCCAGCGTGCCCAGCCACCTCACCAGAGCCATATAGCACTATGTCGCGAGTCCAACCCGACCTGGCGTAGTAAACGCTCACATTGAACTGATCCGGTACACCCGTCAGGCCCGAAAAGCTGCTCACCGCGTCGTCCTCGAGCACAGCAAACGCCGCCAACACGGCTCGTCCACTGCCCATCACCATTGTGCCTGTACCAGTACTCGAACCCGCGCTCTGTAAGCCGTATGCATCCTGTACCACACTGACATCCACGCCCAACGCGTTGCCGGCCAGGTCCGTCATGCCAATCACCGTCGCCGCGACACTGACATTCATCGTCTCCAACACATCGAGCTGTGCCTGGACCGTCGTGTTCACGTCGAGCAGTAGCCAGCCCAACTCGACAATCTCGGTCCGCGGCCCGCTCACGCCCAGCTGCGTCAAGACCACCATGCCCGTGCTCGCAGCCACGCTCGCCAGAGCCGTCGGGTCAACCGGTGCCAGAGGCTCAAACCCTGATACCACAAACGCTTGATGCTCAAAGCTGACGCTCATCGTCAGACTATCGAGCCCGGCCGCGCTCACACGCGTGCTCAACAAAACACGCGCCGCACCCGATGCGTCCTCTACGCTGCTATACGGCAGCGTAACGTGCAGACTACCCGCCGCAGTCGCGCTTCGTGCCGAAACCACGGCGCTCCCCTCGGGCCGTAGCGTCAGTCGCCCAAACGATGAGCTCACCGTGCCGCTGGCCGTGGTCAGCCCAAAGACGGGTACCACGCGCGTGCCCAGTAGGCTGCCCGCAGCAACATACGATGGCTCCGAATACCATGCGGCCGGCACCTCCAGGCTCACCACGCAGGTCCCAGTACCGGGTGCCAACTGACACCCCTGCACCAGCGCCGCCTCGCCCGCCACGTCTGAAGGCTTGACCACGCGCGCATAGGCTGTCACCCCACCACCCGTGAGCTGTCGGCCGTTGCGGTCTAGGCCCCGCAGGAGCACCCGGATCTCGGTAATAGATGGCCACAGAATCGGGGTCAGCATCTGCACCTGGACGGTATGCAGCTGGCTTTGGGTGTTGTTGGCGCTCACTGCTGGTACCGCCGAAGCATCCACCACCGCGGACATCTCCCCCAGTCCCAACGAGACTATGCTGTTTTCCGCCATGCCGCTAGGGCCACCTGATAGATGAACAACGTCCCAAGTTTCCTTTGCAACTCTTCCTGTCTGTTCGCCCAGCGGTGCGGCTAGCGTACTCAGATCGATGGTCGAGAAGGCATCACTGACAGGCACATACTGAGTTTCACCTGGCCCATTCAGGTGCCGTATCACCGAATCTATTACCAAACAGCACAAACAGTTGAGCAAAGATGTAAGAGCCGTGTCAACAGCTCAAGTCCGTCCTGAATTGGGTCGTGCTCTCGCAAAGACGTACAGTTGGACGTGGCGCTTGCCCAAGGGCAGGTCAGGGCAATTGTCGCGATAGCCAAAGGCAGAGCGCCAAGAAGGGCGGCTCTGTTGGCGCACGACTTTGAACCAATCATGTCTGTGAGCCCGGAGAATTAATGTAGACTCTTCCGTTGCCGGATGTTAGAGGCCTCAAGTCGGGCGCGTCAGCATGGTGCGATCCCTGGTTTTCGAGACAATCGCAGCTGTTGCGGGAGGGGCTGAGTCAAAGCGCAGTCACAAATGGGCCTGACCAGGCACTTTTTTTTTCTTTCCGGGGTGTGGCCAACGTGCGCCGTCGGCCGAGCTTTCGACGTTTTAGGAGAAGAAGCTGAAGTTGGTATTCTTTGCCATTCACAATCAGCGTTTCAGCATCAGTCAGCGAGCGGCTGCTCTCTCTCTCTCTCTCAAGAAAAAGGGGGGATTTATTCCCTTGCGTCAACTGTCCTCTTGCGTTTTCTGTGTGCTGTCAGCACACATTGAAGGGGTTGTGCATAACAACGACCACACCCAAGGTTGCAAGCCCCGCCCCCCCCCCCCAGCTCTTCCATGCTGCTAACGTAGTGGCTACATGCACGGTAAACGCAAGCATGCAAGCAGGTTGTGTCTCTGTTTAAAACAAGTGTTCTGTATCTGTGTTGCCCCAAAACTTCTCTCTCTCTCTCTCTCTCTCTCTCTCTCTCTCTCTCTCTCTCTCTCTCTCTCTGTCTCTCTCTCTCTCTCTCTCTCAAACTCTCTCTCTCTCAAACTCTCTCTCTCTCTCTCTCAAACTCTCTCAAACCCTCTCAAACTCTCTCAAACTCTCTCAGACTCTCTCAAACTCTCTCAAACTCTCTCAAACTCTCTCTCTCTGTGGGCCATTTTGTCAGAGAAAAGCAGAGGGCTGAGAACCAACGAGAATGACGGCAATCGACGTGAAGGACGCGACGGCGCTGAAGACCGTCTTGACTGACGCTGGCGGGTCAGTCTGGTGCTTCTTGCAGTGCCCGTAGAGGCGCGTTTGGGGGGGAGAGGGTGCTGTTGTTTGGGGTGGGGGTGATGTGAATTTGAAGGATGTGGGTGTGCAAGGAGAGTCGTTGTCGTGCGCTCGCGTGGGTTGGCTTCTTCGCTGGGGCCATGTGATGGATGGCTCACGTGTTGGTGATGTGGCATTGGATGGCAGTGCACTGGTGGTAGTGCACTTTTGGGCGGATTGGGCGCCGCAATGCCAGCAAATGGATGCTGTTATGGCGGAGCTGCACAAGGCTTATCCCACCATCAAGCTGGCCCGGGTAGGTTTCGGCGTGGCCCACAGCAGGGCGACAGGCACAACTCGCTAGTGCGATCTCTTCACTTTGAAACGCTGGCAGGTTGAAGCCGAGGCCTTGGCGGATGTCTCCGAGGAGTATGAAATTATGGCTGTTCCGACCATGCTTCTGTTCAAGGTAAGCGCCTGCCCTGGCAGAGCCAGACATCACAAGGTCGGCGGCATTCAACTCATCCACGGTGGCATCTGGGCTTTGCTGGGCCTCAGTTGAGCAAGGTTGTGGACCGCGTCAATGGCGCCAACGCTCCTGAACTGTCGGCCAAGGTACTTTTGCTTTTACGTGCAGCCCTTTGCTGACAGAATGCTTGGTATATGCCAAGCCAAGGCTGATTGAAGGGCTTCGTCCGAGATTAGGTCCAAAAGCACCAAGCCGTTGTGGCACAGGTTCCCAAGCTCGCTGAAGTCGCTGTTGAGGACCCCAAGCTGGTGAGGAACAGCATTGGCGTGGATGACCTGTCGCTTTCGCCCATTGCCCTGTCCTTGGATGCTCCATGTGACCACTCCGCCACCCCTCTTGCCACCAGAGCTTGAACGACAAACTGCACAAGCTGATCAACGCAGCACCCATGATGCTCTTCATGAAGGGCACGGCCGACGAGCCCCAGTGTGGTGAGTGGCAAGCACCAAGTTGCAATGTCATACAAGAGCATTCTAGTCCTTCTCACCTTCACATTGCCCCACATGTTGGACCGCTGAAATGCCGCTGCAGGCTTCTCGCGCACCATGGTAGAGCTCCTGCGATCAGTGGACGCTGAGTTTAGCACTTTTAATATCTTGGCCGATGATGAAGTATGGGCTGCTTGTTTTGAGGCGTCTTATTTTCCCTTTTCCTGCATCTGTCGACTCGAGAAGGCGCCCGTGCTCCAAGTATCCGGGATTTTCCGGCACAGGAGTTGATTGTATTTGTTGTGTTTGTCATCTAGGTGCGTCAGGGTCTCAAGACTTACAGCAACTGGCAAACCTACCCGCAACTGTACATCAACGGCGAGCTGATTGGTGGACTCGATGTGGTCAAGGTGAGAAGACTTCTCGTGTGCCCTTGCCCAATCAGATGTGGTGCTTGGTAGGCATACCTCATGCAGCTCGTCTCGACTCGCGCGTGCATTTAGGAGTTGCAAGCTGAAGGGGAGTTGGCGGGCATGTTGCCTTGCGCCAAGTCGGAAGACGAGCTCCATGCCAGGTTTGTCTTGTCATCTCTTAGTATCTCCGCGTGTGTCCCGAGGTGACGTGCTTGGGATGGACTACCATTCATGTTTTAGCTCAACCCCATTCTGGTGCTCAACTTGACTGTATTGCCACCTCCTCTTTCGCCGCCTTACTGTATCGCCATCTATCCCTGCAGGCTGGCGGCATTGATTCGCCGGGCACCTGTGATGCTCTTCATGAAGGGCACGCCCGACGAACCCCGGTAAGTAGGCAAGAAGCTGCCATGCCATAGCCCCCCTGTCTCTTGATCCAAAAAATAAAAATAAACAAAAGGGGCTGTTCACTTACTTTGTGGCTTTTCACAGCTGTGGTTTCAGCCGCACCATGGTCGGAATTCTTCGCGATGAGGGCATTGAATTCGGACACTACGATATTTTGGGCGACAATGAGGTGTGGCTCGGTGATGCTATTGAGATCATATGCTCCCATGCTCGCCGGGTGCTTGACATTGGTGGTGGTGACGTGTTCTCAGGTTCGCCAAGGCCTGAAGACATACAGCAACTGGCCCACGTATCCTCAGCTCTATGTGAACGGCGAGCTTATCGGTGGCCTGGATATTGTCAAGGTAAACCGTCGGGTCGATGGGAAAACAAAGAGAACAGAATTTCATGGTGGTGGCGTTGAAAGCTTTTCTTTTTCTCCCTTCTTCTGAGGTTATTATCGATTTTGCTCATCCAATGCTCTGACAACGCCGGGCGCTCTGGGCCCGACGTGCTTAGGAGCTCAAGGAGGCAGGTGAACTGCAGGAAACGCTGACCCAGCCTGCCACGAACTAGAACCACACGAGACGGAGGAAAGATGCAGGTCACTTCCGTGGTGATACAGGCCCTTTGGCCGTGAGCCGCACCACATCCATTGATGGCCGCGCCAGCTGCGCATGACAATTGTACCATGAGGCTACATCGCAGTAGAACAATTTAGTCACACTGCCCTCAGCACACACTACACTGGCTTTGGCTTGTGTCCGGTGGAGGTAGTGGAAGAAAATTGAACCGAACCCCCAAGCTGCTCAGTGGCATAAGACGGCTTTTTCTTCTTTTTTTTTGTTTTCCGCGAGTGCGAGACTGAACTGAACGTACCTTAATCTTGTTGCCATCGCGCAGCGTCTTGACGCCTTCGCGACGCAGGAGATCAACCTTGTCGCAAATGTTGGTGCTGGAGATGGCCGTCTGACCACCAAAGCCACCCATTGAGAAATCACTGGACACGACACGATGGCAAGGGACCATCTGCAGCCGTTGTAAAGGCCATCATGTGCAACAAGGGGTGTGAAACAACCACAGGCATTGACCAGCGAGGCTGCGATCGACTGGATGTGACACAGACACACCTCGGGTGGGTAATCGGGACCGGGGTAGAGCTTCATGGCAAAGGGATTATTGCGCATGGCTTGGCCGACGGGCCGTGCGGCCTTGCAGCCCACGGCCCGTGCCACCTCGCCATAGGTCGCCACCTGAGCGTCACATCACGCGCACGACGATGAAGACTGCGCGCGAACATGTGGGTAGCGGCGCTATCGTTCCAGTATGCAAAACTGACCTTGCCTGCGGGAATTTTCCGAACGAGCTCGTAGACGCGAGCTAAGCAAAGATGACACGCAAGCGGGGCAATGCCAGGTGGCCTGTGAATAGCTGTTTGTGGCGTTTCAACGAGCCGAAGCTGGTCCGGACCTTGAAAGGGTGTGACCTCGGACGGCAACCGCCGTCGATTGGCCTTTTTCCGTGAAGGTGTCGACGCAGCTGACTCGTCCGACGAGACCGAACCCTGCTTTGCTGCTAACCGCTTAGCCCGACCCCCAGCGACCGAGCTCCTGAGCCCAGTGCCATCCTCGCTGCTGGCCGCCCGCGCTGCCATCCCAGCTGTGTGTCAGGCAAAACGAAATGCAACAAACATGTTTCGACAAGTCGTGTCAATTTGTTGACAATTCTTTTTCACAACATCTTTGTCAGAGAGACAAAACGAGTCTTTTTTGTTTTGTGACTTCTTAGGAACCACCCCACCCTGTCTCTGTCTCTGTCTCTCTCTCTCTGTCTCTCTCTCTCTCTGTCTCTGCCTCTGTTTCTGCCTCTGTTTCTGTCTCTGTTTCTGTCTCTGCCTCTGTCTCTGCCTCTGTCTCTGCCTCTGTCTCTGTCTCTCTCTCTCTGTCTCTCTCTCTCTGTCTCTGTCTCTCTCTCTCTGTCTCTGCCTCTGTCTCTGTCTCTGTTTCTGTCTCTGTTTCTGTCTCTGTCTCTCTGTCTCTGTCTCTGTCTCTCTGTCTCTCTGTCTCTCTTTCTGTCTCTCCCTCTCTGTCTCTCTCTCATTTGCTTCTCCAGTAGTGAGTCAACTCCAGCGCTCCGCCCACACACACACCTTATGTAGAAGCTGCTCTTTGTTCGGATCGAGCGAACCAGATCAACTCGCGACTCACTGGCTTGTTCGGCTTTGGTCTCTGGCTCTACCCGTCTGCTTTGGCGCTGTGGTGATAATAGGTCGTGTGTAGTCTGGTCGGTCTTGCATCGGCAGGATGGCTATGCCCGAGAAGATTCAGTATGTGGCCAACACCTTTACCAACATCCGCAAGCTCTGCGCTCAGCGCAATCAGAATCAGGGCGCTGGCTTTGTCACTGACTTTCAGGCCTTGGCCAGCATCGGTGTGGGCAACCCCAGCACGGCCTCCAAGGCGCCTGAAAACATTGTCAAGAATCGGTGCGAGTGTGCCTGCCTCACGAAGCGTTCTTTGAGAGCTCTCGCGGCTGAAAACGCTTTGCTGACCCGTGTTTTAATTTGTATTTGCTCCCCACACAACCCCCCTTCTCTACCTGCGTGATCACGATAGCTATGTCAACATTACGGCCTACGATGCCTCTCGCGTCGTCCTGAAGGACCATGACACAGACTACATCAACGCCAGCTGGTGCCCATCCTACACCAGCCCGCGCGGCTTTATCGCCACCCAGGGACCCGTCCCCTCCTCCTTTGATGACTTTTGGTGGATGATCTGGTCTTACAAGGTTCGTTTGTTTCTCCGTCCTCTTCGCGCCGCCGAGTCGGCTGTCTCAGCCTTTTGACCCCTGACGATTTGGGGTCCGTAATGGTTGATCAGGTCGGCGAGATTGTCATGGTCACGCGCGAACTGGAAACCAATGTCTTAAAGTGTCATCGCTACTGGCCCGAAGACAATGCTGAGGTGCAGTACGGCAAGGTCAAGGTCAAGTTTACCCGGTCCGCCATGCACGCCCATCACATTGAGCGTCACTTTGAAGTGGGCCTGGCTTCGGGTGGTCCAACCCGGGACGTCGTTCAACTGGCCTTTCAAAGCTGGCCCGATCATGTGTGTCTCTGCTGCATCCGCATGCCTGATGCATTCGGCATGCACCACAGTCGCCCGTCATCATGGCCTGCTCACATTTTTTTTCATCTTCACTTTTGAGATCGGCAGGGCGTGCCTCTGACAAGTGTCGAATTTCTCGAGTTTCGAGCCGAAGTTCTCAAGTTTCACGAGCGAGACACCAAGGCCCCCATCTGCATTCACTGTTCCGCCGGCGTTGGACGCACTGGCACCTACATTGCCATTGACACGTGAGTGGCGCCTTCTACGGTCTCCTCTCTTCGCTGCCACGTGTTCCTGGTTGCATTCTCATCGAGACACCCACGTGCCGGACTATGGCACCCTGTCGCTCCGTGGGCTTAGCGCACTGCAACAAGTGCAAGAGCGCGCCGAGGTGAACATTGATGCGATCATTGGCCAGCTGCGCCAACACCGCAACTTTATGGTGCAAACGGTGGCCCAGTACGCGTATGTGCACAAGGTGGTTCTAGATGCCCTGAACAACTGGCTCAAGAAGCACAAGGACATCATTGATCGTGAGCGTGAACGCATGGCCGCGGAGCAGGCTCGGGAATTGGAGAAGCAGCGGCAAGAGCAGCTGGCTGCTGCTGCCGCTGCCGAAGTGCAGCGTCGCACAGAAGAAGCAGCCGATGTGAAGGACAAAGAGCCCGAGGCAGATGAGGAAGTCACGTTGGCCGAGGTTGGTCCATATTGTGCGCCCTACACACACACACACACACACTTTTGGTTCTGGGCCATTGAGGTTGGGATGTCATCCTCACTTTGATCTTTGCGCTCCCCAGGTCCAAGCCGAGCAGGAGCAGATGGATGTGGAAGCAGAGGAAGAGAAGAAGGAGATTGAGCAGCTCTTTCAGGGTGCACAGCCACGCATCGTGGTGGTCAATCCCACAGAGATCAAGCAAGCCGAGGCCGAATGGAAGGCCGACACATATGATGTCTCATACTCCATGACTTCGGTCGAGTCCAAATTCGAGTCGCTGCAGTCGATGGGCGTCAACATTCAAAAGGCGGCCATTGAGCAGATTGCCAATTTGGTGCGTCAAGCCAAGGAGCTGCGCATTCGCCAACGCGAAGCCGTTGAGGCGGAGGCACGCGCAAAGAAGGAAGCCATCGCCAAAGCCGAGCGCGAAGCGGCTGAGCACCAGAAAGCCCAGGAAAAAGCAGAGGCTAAGAATAAGGCGCAATCCCGAGCCACACGCTACTTGCGCAAAATGTCCATGCCGTCAGAGTAGGCAAGCCATGGCCCACCTGGACTGTGCGCCAACGTGCAGTCAAAGGCACTTGAAACCCAAAGCCAAAGTTTTATCACGGCGATGCTCAATTCACAAAACCGAAAAGGAACTGTTCATCATGAATTCATGCCTCGACCGACAGCACCCCTTGAGAAAAAATCAGTTTAATTTACTTGTCATTTTTAGTGTATTTCGAGCTATTCTTTTCGCCGTTCTTGGATATTCCGTGGCGACACTCCGTCGCTTTGAATGACTTCTGGCAAAAGATTGAGCTTGAGAGTGCTTCCCTCACACAGACTAAAATATTTTCCTCGAGATGTTGTCGTGCCCATATGCTAACTCTCATTTCCGCACTTTGAGGACTTGAGGACATTGGACTGTAACCGACGATATGAGTCTGTGTAAAAGCCGTCTTCTTCCAGGCTCCTTGTCTCATTGCCATAAGCGTTCGATGCGGTAAAAGCACGCGATTTGCATCAATGCAAAATACTCAAGCTTAACATGAGAAAATTTCACCCCAAGGCGTCAACAGGTGACAGGAGGCGAAACACAAGGGCTGAGCTGGGACTGCACAATGAAGTCGAGTTGCCTGCACCAACGAGGAGGCCTCTCGCTCCCCAAATTCCCTCACACAGGACGAGTCGTTGCTTGCAAGGTCAGTTCATCGAAACATGGTCCGAAAGAAAGGATATCACGCACAATAAATTTGTTTATCATAATTTGTTGCCACGCACGGGCAAGGATGCCGGGGCCTGCTTGGCTTCCTGCGAGGGCAGAACACAGGCGAGTGAAGGCGGGCAAAAAGTTGGCATGGCTCGGGCATCAGCTAGCGCGCGATTTGTTGCTCTGAGCACGTGGGGTGTACCTCTGTCTTAAAGTGCGTGTACAGCACAACACCGGCGAGAGCGAGCATGATGCCCAGCGCCTGCTGCCCATTGATGGGGTCATTAAAGAAGACAAAGCCGCCGACAATCACCGTACACAGCTTGAAGTGACCCAGCACGTTGTATCTAGCCAGGCGCACAAGCAGGTGAGGCCAAGCCAAAGCCAACGCCTTTGTGCGGGAACAACAGCAGTCCACAAGCTCTGAGGACTCCGCCCACCCCTGAAAAAGCTTCGAGGGGCCTTGCACGCACGTGATGGGGGAAGTCTTGCCAATGACCAGGAAAATGGACAGGTTGACGGCAAACGCCATCACGGCTGATGATCCGGCTGCGAGCTGGCGAGGCCCAAGAAACGGAGGCGAAGTGATCGTGTTGAGCAAAATTGCTGTCAGAAACATTGGCCACCGAGTTGGGCATCGCTTGGTCCACTCACCAAAGCCTCGGCTGGCCATTCGCGGTTGAAAATGCCGTCCTCGGCGAAAGGGTTTTCCAGGAAGGGTAGCACGATGGCCAGGATGCCGGCTGAGAGAGGCGCCTTAAGACAGATTTCAGGCGAGGTCAATCATCAGTCTGGGGGCACGCCAGGTGTAGAGTCGAGTCGCTGCTGAAGGGTGGCGGGATGCGTGAGCTCACCTGGTAGTAGAGCAGCTGGAATGCGGTCATTTCCAAGTCGCTTTGTTTGGTTTTGACCCACTGCAGCAGGTCAAGTCGGTGCCGGGCGGCCACGGTCAGGAGGAAACCAAAGACACATATCTTGGTCAAGAAGCAATGCAAGAGGACAGCCAGGCACGGCGGGTGGCATCAAGATGCCGTATGACGTACAATTTGGTAGAGAGAGGTGACCAGAACGCCCGCACTAGCAAATACGAGCCCCCAAAAGTTGACCGTCATATCGGCATGTGTGACCATGGCCACGCCGGAGATGACCATGACCAGGGAAAAAAGGACGCGCGAGGTGAAGGAGGCGCCATAATAGAAAAACTGAATGGTGACGATGACTGGCGTCGTCAAGGTTTTGGCCAACTACACACCCAAGAGGCCAAGGCAGGACCGGCAAGCCAGCAACACCAATGAGGAGAGGGGCAATCGGATCGATCTTCTTTTCAAGGGGCCAAAAGGAGCGATCAAGGGCCATCGAGACTTGCTGGGGTCAGACGAGCCCTGGCCACGAACCTGGTAAAAGCCGACGCTGTTGTAGGTAAGGGAGAGATTGGTAAACACTACAAAGCCACAGAATGCGAGAGCAAGGGGCAATACGCTGGTGATGTTGACGTGCTTGGGCTCGAAGACGTGGAGGCCAGCACAAATCTACAGAGACCAGGGGCGGGGTGAGCCATGGCCGCCGTTGTACCCAAAAGGCGATGCAGCGCCCATGCACCTTGAGGCCGAGCCAGGTCACGACAAAGTGGATGAGCGTGAGGGTGATGGAGGGAAAGCCTTGAATGTAGGCCCACTTGTTCAGGAAGACAATGCCGATGCTGCTGAGGTAGTTCATCAGCTACCAACCCAGGCCCCAGCGCGCAAGCCAGCAGCGGCAGGCAGGTGCGATGAGCTCTTGACCAAAGCATTTGCGGGCTCGAGCAAGCGGCTGCAGAACGCACCATAAACCCTTGGACGGCATGCTGCCGCATCCAGTCAAGGCCTGCCATGATGATGCGCGGTGGCGCGGCCTCCTTCGAGACCCGGCACAACACACTCAAGCTCGGTGACCTGCACAAAGGCAACGAACGATCCATGAGATACAAATCGTCGCAAAGGAGCCCCTGGTGATACGGTCAACGCGTGGGCTGCACCAACCTTGAGCCCCTCAGCCAGCCGAGGACGTCAACGCTGCTCCGTGCGTGCAGTGGCGGCGCATCGAGCGGTCGCGCTGCCGTTGTCCCCCGTCCCCGCTGATCGTGACGCGCCGACACGAACAACAAAATTCCATTCACGTTCCAAAGCTACAATCCTATTGGTTTCTACAAAAAGTCTGAAAATAACAGCATAAAGTATGGGGACCACAATGTCATCAAATTTTTTGGGTTCAAGGCGTCTCGACGACTTTATCCGGGTTGAGTACAAGTGTGACCTTGGTTCGCTCTTACGTTTGTCTCCAAAAACTCGTCCAATCGCAAACTCTCTGAATGTTGATCCCACCGGGCCATGCGTCTCTGACTGTGTAATGTTTAAGCTTTAATTTTGCCTGACATTCCACACCCACAAGCCCTTCCCCCTGCTGAGGTGCCACTTGAACACGCGCCTCTCTGCAAAAGCAAAGAGACATCACAGCAGGTGTGTGTGGGTATGTGTGCTGCTTTTGACAAATCGCAACACAAAGGCATACTTTTGCTACATAAACCCTATATACTAATAACATTATCTCTTGAAACGATGTCTCAGTTTTCGACATTAACTCGACGTGGACCTGCATAAACTCTGCGCGTGCTGTTTGCGGAAAAAATCACACGAGCTCAAACGCGCCGACAAACGGCAGTCGAGCGGTCCCGCGGCGCCGGCAGTCGTCTACAAACGGCAGGGTGAGACGCCCCCCACCCCCCCCCACCCCCTTGGTCTTCTCCGAGGCAGATCAAGAAGCGGAAGAGGATTGGCTTGGTGCCTGCAGGGTCTTTGCGGCGAGCAGACCGTTTTTGCAAAGAGGGGTTTGCTGAGGGGCCTTCGGGCTCGCGTCGACGGCTGACGCCCGACGGCCGACGGTCGCCGCTTCCGCATCTCTGTTCCGCCCATCCGTGTGCGTGTGCGCTTGCGTGCAAGCTGTGTGTGTGCTTTTAGATCTGCTGTGCAAGCTGTGCATCCGGCCCGCCAGTTGCTTGCATCGAGGCCGCCGGTGCGATGGATGTTTACACACCCTTCCTGTTGGATCAGCGCATGTCCATGCGGCTGCAGGTCGAGGGACACGTGGTGCACGAGGCCCCGCCCCCGATCGAGGCACCCGACTTTACCACACCGCCGTCCTCCACTCGAGCCAGCATGATGGAGGGCGAGGGCGCCGATGAAGCTTTCAACGAAGAGGCCACCGACCCGGAGACCGCTGCCTATGAGCGTTACCAGGAGGTCGACATTGAGGCCATGACGGAGGAGGAGCTGGAACAGCTGCGTGCGCGCCTTCTTGAGGAGCCGACCCTCATCAGCAGCCAACGTTTGCAGCAAATTTCCACTCAGGTTCTGCAGCGTCGACGCGAACTTGCCGACGCCTCCGCCCGGCGCGAGGGTCTCATCGTGTCCGACTCGGACGCCAACTGCGTCGAGTGTCGCAAGCCCTTCTCTCTCCTGAACTGGGCTTACATTTGTAACAACTGCGGCAGTCGAGTCTGTGCTGATTGTAGTCCTGCTCGCATTTTCCTCCCTAGCCGCTCCACCAGCCGCTCGCGCGTCTGCAAAACTTGCGCGCTTCGCATTGAGAAGGACACTCGAGGCAAACCGATCCACTTTGTCACCACCGCCAGCCCCACGCAGCAGAGCTTTTATCTCCGCGAACTTCCCTGGTGCCTCTGGCAGCTCCGCAACATCACAACCCTCCGCATTTGTGACTTTGGCTTGCGTGATATCTCTCCGCATCTTGGGCTCCTCCGCCTCCTCGTGCACTTGGACCTCAGCCACAACCGCCTCTTGACCCTGCCGGCCGAGCTGGACAAGCTTGATCGTCTGGAATGGCTCACCCTGGCGCACAACTCCATGCGCCAACTCCCCGATGTTCTACGTCGCCTGCCCAGCCTGCGACATCTCGACGTCAGCTCAAACAAATTGGGGGCTCGGACAGACCATCTCAAAGCCCTGCCACAGCTCACCTGGCTCAACATTAGCAAGAACAAGGATCTGGACCCCGGTACTCTGGCATATTTGACTCCCCTTCAGCCCTTGGGCGAACTCAACGTAGCTCACATCCGCTTGAACCGTGTTCCTGCCCAAATCTGGCGCTTGCGCACCCTCACTCGCCTGGACCTCAGCGCATGCAACCTCAGCAAGCTCAGCCATCACATTGCCCATCTACAGCTCCTCGAATACTTGAACCTCAGCCGTAACCAGCTACAGGAGCTCTCCGGCGCCATTGGGTCCCTTGACAACCTCCTGACCCTGATTGTCAACTACAACCCCCTGGCTCAGCTGCCCCTCACCCTGTTTCGGCTCCGTCAGCTCGAGACCCTTGAGCTACGCCAGTGCCACCTCGCGCACATCCCTGAAGCCGTGGGCTGGCTGCAAAATCTCAAGCACCTTGATGTCAGCGAAAATCGATTGGATGGACTGCCCACCACCCTCACGCGCCTGCCTAACCTTGAACGCCTCGAGGTCCATGGCAACTTGTGGAAGTCGGAGTTGCCCCAAAACCCAACACGCAATCTGCCACGTCTTTTGCTCGAGGTCAATGGCGAGCTCAAAGCCGTGCTGGCAAGCTGCAGCATTCCGGTGCAGCTTTGGTCTGCCGATGGCATCAGCGTCCGCTCCCTTCCTTGGCTGTACGATGCCATGACCCTTCGCCTCGAGGGCTTTAACAGTCTATTCAATATTAACCAGGACATCCTACACGAATCCAATCTGCCAGAGGTCCCCAATGATGAGGCTGATGTCTTTGAGCCCACCATTGTCCGTGGCCCGCCCCAGCACTCCTCAGGCACGGCCAGCCGCAGCAGCAGCACCACGCCGGCTACCGATATTCTGCAACACTATCAAATGCCTTTCGAGACTTGCCTTCTAGACCCTCAAGCCTGCTATTCCATTCTCGAGCCGTACCAACGCAATGCCGACCAACATGCGCGCATGCATTTTACTGCTGGTGTTCATGCGCTCAACACCGTGGGCGATGACATTATCATGCATGCCCTCGTCCCCGAATATTCACAGCCACGTCTTCATTTGATCCTCTTTACTGTCCTGGATCAGGAGTCACTTCCTGCATTGCGCCTTGACCAACTGCGTGCTCGCATTCATCGGCTATTAGCCACCTACCCTTCTGATAGAGTCGAGGCAAGTTATCGTTTGGGCCATGCATGCGTGCTTCACAATCTTGCGCCTTGAGCTGGAAATATGAACTCATGCGCCTTTGCGCTCGCACCCCCTGTCCCGCCAAGCAGGTAATCGCCGAGTTGCCACCTGGCGCGTCCATCCGTCCTTTCAAAGCTCCCCTGGTCAGTCGCTACAACATTTGCTTGAGACACACGTGTTGCCAACCCTCAACTTGCTTGGTGCCTAGTTGTCCCAATCTCACGCTCCGCTGTGTGTAGTCGCAAATTCGCGAGGTGGTTGCTGCCGTGCCCTTGGGGCGCCGTCGCTTTCTCAACGCCATCGAGCCCTACGAAGTGACCGAAAACGATACTGGGCATACGGAACAGATTCGCGCACACACTGGACGCATCGACTATTGGCGCGCCGTCACCGACTCAGTGGACGGCGATATCGTCATCACCCGCCGAAACCTCAAGCCGTTGCTCTCGGCTGTCGCCAATTTTGCCCTCCACGTTGCAAAGCACAAAACGCAGCCCGTGCCGGCGGATGTAGCTCAGGCACACCCACCGTCTGCTTTGCACGCCCCCCTGGCCCGCCTTGCGCAGCCAAACACCGAGGCTGCTCGCAATGACGCACCCAGTCCGAGTGCGCGCCCACCAGCAGGAACTGTCCTCTCCGATAGCCGCAAGACACAGGTCCTCAGTGCGCTCGCCAAGTTTCCTCATGGCGTGGCGCCGTTCAAGCCACTCGAGGATTTACTTCGTGAAGCCTGGTTGGATCGCACCATTCGACCACGCGCGGACACCAACATGAGCCTGCTACGGCATCACTCTGCTGAGTATTCAGCTCATCAGTCTACTTCCGGGGCAAGTGACGATAGTTCGGCTTACGATGATTGTGCCGCTTACGTTGAATCGGTAAGGAGTTTGGGGTCTTCGGCCCATGTACCAGCACGCGAAGCGCCATCACGCTTCCGAGAGCCTAAAGTTGTCCACCTGTTTGTGCACCCGCTTGGCATCTTGATCCGCAATCTTCTTCTGCTCTCAACTTTGTAGGTTCTCGAGCGACATTCATTTGCTCGCCTCATTCAGGCCAAGGATCGGTTTCTTCTCGCACAGAACTGGGTATGTTTCCCATGGTGTGCGACAGTGCTTGTGCCACTTGCGACGCATATCGGCTGTGCCACCTATTCTTAGTTTCTCATCAACCCATCACTTGGCAGGTGCTACCGGCTCTATGTTCCATATTCACGCGGGACCACCTGGCATGGTTGGGCACAAGCGAATTTCAAGCCAAGGCCAAACAGATGCGTTCAAGCCTGAGTTTTCGGGAGAGTGATTTACGCGCCCTCCGCTCCAGTGGAATGGCCAGTGAGCGTCTAGTCCGCAGCCTGTTGCAAAGCATGGCCCTCATTCACGCCGAGTCGCCGCTGGCCGAGTCTAACAATCGCCGGTGCGCTACTCGACATTGTCACTGTATTTGCTTGGCGCGGATGTGCCCGGGCTCACTGTAACCCTGCCTTTGTTTGATATTTGCTTGGCCTTGCGGCTTACGGCCGCCTGCAGTCTGATGACGTTTTTGGCCGAGCGTCACTCGCATGTGGAAAACTTGATCGGGGATGAGAGCAAATTGGATAATTGTATCCATGTGCTTGTTTCCGCAGGCATCCTTTACGCCGCCCCTGATGCGGCTCACACCTACATGGTAACAACTTTTCTGCCTGAGGCTCCTCCCAGCGGAGCTGAGAAGGCACTGGGTGCTATATCGATTCCAACCCGGCGCGAATCCTACCCCAGCGCTCACATTAACACGCAGACACGCTTGTATCATGTTGACTGCTGTCCAGCGTGGCTGTTTGCCCGCTTGCAATGCTTGGCTGCGGAGCGAGGCTACACGTAAGTTGTTTGTCTATGTCACGTGGCACAGCGCGGCCGGCCGCAGCCTTGATGCTGTACTGGTTGGTGTCATACCTTTCACCCTTCTGTGGGCCAGTCAGTGAATGTTTGTCGTTGAATCTCAATCTGGACAAAAGAGGTGTCATGCTTATCATCAATGCCTTTTGCTGCACTGTGATGCATTTAGGGTGTATGGCTGGCAAACGGGCGCCGTTTTCATGCATCGACACGGCGATCAGTCCACCTTGTGTATAGCAAGTGGTTGTGAGGCCGAGGGTGGAGGCTTTGAAGTGCGCCTGACAGCCATCGTGCTCAATGAGGTACGAGCTTGCATCCAAATGTCGATACGTCGCCACTGGCGTCTCACTTCGTATTTGGCTTATTGTCATGGCACGATTCACTTGGGTGCTTAGGACTTTCCGCTGTTTTACAACATGATGACTTCGGCCTTATTGCCTTTGGTGGCCTGCCTCGAGCATCTGCTGACCGTGCAATGCCCTGGCGTATTGTGGGAGTCATCGGTAGGTCTTGGTCATTATCATGGCTACACAACCCCACCTTCGCCGGTTGGAAAGAAACAAACTCTCGCAGCGATGAGCACACCCTGTAACTTTTGTTGCCCCGGGGCTGTAGATCGTTTGCGCCTCTTGTGCTCAAGAGGATGTTGTACAACTCCAATGCGGACGACTGCGAGGTCTTGATATCCTGGTATGCATTCACCTTTTTGAATACCATATCGACAGGGCCTCACCGATAACCAAAAACAATTATCTAATGCCCCCCCGCCCGCCCCCCTCCTCCCTTTGTTCTTCATTGGTTTGCTCCGCATAGGTGACGTCTCTGCCAGCCACGCCCTTTATTCACTGTCCAAACTGCAACCAACAAATAATCATTGCGGCATCATTGCTTAACCTCCTCTCTGGTCAGTACCGTTCTGAGCCGCCATTGTTGACTGCTGACACAGCCCATGATTGTAGATCTTTCTGATGTCTTTGTTCCTCTTCTCGACTTTGTCTTGTAGACTCGGAGCAGGAGGAGCAATTGCTTCGCGATCGCATCGGAGATCTCAACAAGCGCATGAAGGTAAGCGACCAAGCATGGACGTTTTCACCAATGGACAGGCTCGGGCTGGCAGCGGCCATTCTCTGTTGTGCACGACCTTAGTGATCGCTTCAACTCCATTTAGAACCTGGGAAGTGCGCGAACGCAGCCCATCAACACGTTCATTACCAAACTAGAGGATCAAGATTGGGACTTGCTTTGTCTTCAAAATGCCCCGATTCAAATTTCGTCGCCTGCAAATACCCGAGCTCCAGCCCGAAGCGAGGGCATGGGCCAGATCTTTCGATAGAAACGGTTGGGCACACAACGAATTATCGGGCACATCTGTTTCCGATTTGCTTTAGGGTTGTTGAACGGGTATGAACGAGCATGAGAGTCAGACCGAATCTGATTCTGGGGGCGACAATGGATATCGAGAACGAGTTTCCGCAAATGCAAAATTGATGCCATTAGACACGGGCTTTGTGTAAGCAAAGTGGCGCCTCAAGATTCGATTCTCACACAATGTATCAATTTCAAACGCAAATTCATAGGCTATGCGTATGGTCGAGGACTGCGGTCTTGGTGCTACACCATAGGGGCTTTCCAAGGTTTATATTGCACCAGACACTCATGACAATGACTTGTGTGACACGCTGAAAGCACACGACAACGTGTAAAAGGGGAAAAAACGCGACGACGTAGCGATTTCGAGGCAGCAATTCTGGCGTACGAATCACGGCCAAACCAACGCCTTATATTGCTGAACATGGGCGGGGCATGCCTTCAGAATTGCTTCAATCTCATCTGTATCAATACTCGTTGGCTTTCTGAACCATTCGTGAACGATGGCCTGAGACTCTTGCTCGCCCTTACCTGGGCTGTGCCAAGGTCGCAACCAAACGCTCAAGAAACCTGCACTTGTGCAATTCTGTAAGGGCTCATCATCTCCGGTGGACAACGGTGGATGCAGCCCTTGAACTCTCGAAGAGCCAGCCGCTTGACTTTCAGCAGGACAGCCATCCGATGACAAGAGCGAGTTTGGACTTGAACTGGGGGCGTCCGACGCAGCAATCTGGTCATTCGTAAGCTCTGATGTTAACCACGGGCCTCTCGCTACAACTGCAGATGAGTTGTGCTCACCAGCCACCGAAGCGGTGGCACTTGGAGCCTCTTTCCATCCGCGAAGACCCACAGCCTGTCGCAGGCGATCAATCAACTCATCTTTGCTCCCCCAAACACGAACGCCAAGGCGACGACAGGCGTCACGGAGGCTTTTAAGGTCGATCTTTGCAATGTCTAAAGCCCGCATCAGGTCTTTGTTTTCGTGAGTGATCAGAGCACGCTTCGTACGTGAAGCCACCGCGCTTGAGGTCAGCTGCTGTGCAGGAGAGACGTTGGCCTGGGTGATTGGATGATCGGGCTGAAGAGGAATAATGCTTGGTGAGGAGGACGCTGTGGCAGAACGCGGCATGTTGAGCATGTGCTTGACGCTCCGAGACTCCAACGTGATGCCGGCGTTGCGAAAAGCTGTCTTTACAAGGTTAGGAAATGCGCTTTGTGCATGGATGCCAGCGCAGAGCGCAAAGATCTCATCGTCCGTGGTCAATGAGTGGGTCTGCAAAAGGCGCTGAAGGTTCACGCGGATCACAATTTGGGCAAACCTGATCTGGTGACGCCACTGGTCGTTCGGTAATAGGTATTTGGATGTGTGAGGGGGGATAAAAAAGAGGTGGATGTTGATGGATCGAAGGTAGGCCACAAGTGGAGCAGAGACGCGAATGCGGTGGCCATCGACGAGCAGAAGGACGGGATTTGAATCCCCGATGAAAGCGCGCAAGAGGCGACAGAATGCCACCAGCAGCGAGCGTGAAAATTTGCCAGTCTTATTAGCCACGTGCATGAAATGCTGATATATGTCGTCCAGGAGGGGCTCATAGACGTTAACAGGGGCTGCTGCAGTTGCGTCTGAAAGGTCACTTTGAGGATAGAGGACCATGGGAGGGGCAAGCGTCCCCGCCATGGAAATAGCAAAGAGCGCGTTCAAGGTGGATGAAGCGGTCTGTTCAGGCACGGCATGCCCGTCCGGACCTTGCGTCGAACCCACAGGTGCGTGAACATTGTTTGGACCAATTCTTAAGTTGGGCAGCTCATCCATTGACCATACATATCGCATCTCTAGACACCGGGGAAATGCACCGGGTGAATGATCAAGGATTGACCCAAGCATGATAGCTGGAGCTTCACACAAACACAGACACAGACACAGACACAGACACAGACACAGACACAGACACAGACACAGACACAGACACAGACACAGACACAGACACACCCCTCAATAGGCATACGGCCATAATAATAGAACTTTTTTTTCATTTAGAACTTACTTTCATGAATGATGGTGCCTGCTTCAGGCCCGGTTTTGTGCAGAAAGCCGAGGTAGTTGAGCGCCGCATCAAGGTCACGAAAATGCGCAGCACACTGGCTCTTTGTAACGACAGGGATATGTTGTTCCGCTTGAGCCTCGTCGTCATCTGCACGAAGGCGAAACTCCGCCTCGAGTTCGTTAAACCATCGCTCGGACAAGACGGCTTCGAATGGGAGTCGACCAGCTTGAGCGTCTGCGAGACGCTGCCGAAACAATCGCTCGCGATGATTGAGGGGACAAGGCGTTGAAGTCGGCAAAGACTGGGTTTCGCCCATGCCGAGCTGCCCCCGCAAAGAGAGTAGCTTATCAATTAATATGAGAGCTTCATTGCGGGCATGCGTCTGAGTCATAGTGTTCAAGGACTGCAGGTACTCGGCAACCAAAGCTCGCTCTTCTTGAGTGCAGAGCACGCGACCATTGATCTCGCCACTGGGTTGAGTTGCGGCCCGCGTACGCGCGGCATGAAATTCAGCTGGCGTGGCACCGAATGCTGTGCAGAAGAGCGAGGGGGGCGGGCGCCGGCCTTTATGGCTAGGATTCTCAGGGAACAGCTTCATGCAAAAAGCGGATGTATCAAAGGGCGGAGAACTGGTATCCAAGAGCTCTTTGAGTGCACTCAAGGGTTGCTGCTTCTTGTGCACCAAACCGGCCAATTGATAGGCAGCAACGGCTGCATCGGCCCGACGTCGTTGGACATTCTTTTCGCGCTACGGCAAAGCAAAGCAAAACACATGACGATGTTTCGTTCCCACCGCGCATCACCAGGGCAGCAGAGTGCAATGCAACGGTCAGGGCGTCTTCATGGCGCCACCCTATGCTTACCCTAATAGCAACTCTGGAGGCGGCAGCCAGGCGTCCGCGGCTCTGCCGTCTTGAGCGAGCCATGATGACCGTCAAGCCACAAACACAGCTAGAGCCCCTCAAATGATAAACGACGATGCCATCATCAAGCCATTCAGGCCAAACCAAGCAGTACGAGCCAAGAGATGTCGTCGAACAGCCCGAGACGCCCTCACCTCCTGCCTCAAATCCAACGCCCACCGTGCCGTCAAATATCACTGCGCCTCTCTCGCTGCGTTCAGATCAGCTCAGTGTGTGTCTTGGAGTGGGCGACTCGCGCTGCCACTTCGAATCAGCTCAAGGGGCACGGCAGTAAATGTCGTTTGACAGCAAATCGTTATTACACAAAAAGAGTCTAGAATCTTCAGATTCAGTGCAAAAAAAAGAAAAAATGTCATGGTTTTTATTTTTGTACATCGGATGTCACTTCTGTGCCCACATTTGATGCAAATGGTTCTTAGTGGCAGTTGAATTGTGCATCCTTTGCGATTGATCACACACACACACACACACACACACACACACACACACACACACACACACACACACACACACACACACACACACATGCACGTATGAACTACCCGCTCGCATGGACATGATGGAGCCAATGCGAGACTCATCGGAATTCGGTATTCATGACATGGTTTATTTACGCCTCACTTTGCTCGTCCACCAGCTGCGCGCGACGCGACCACATGCGGCGACGCACGGCTGCCCGGTCTGATTCCTCGTCCGAGAACGGGCTGCGAAAGTTGCGCGTGTATGACCAGCCACCTTGGCTATCCGATGATCTACAGCAGGGGAAAAAAAAAAAAAAAAGCACCATGTCAATCAAAATGTCGAAGGACGGGCCCGCAGATGTGTTCACGGGGCAGGGACGAGCACGAGCACATAAACGCACTTGGTCTCAATCAAGCTCCAATCGCTTGTCCACTCATAGCCTTCTGGGGGCTTGACCATCTCTTGAAGATCATAGCCAGCCGAGTTGTCGACCAGCGTCCAGCCTACACAAGGAACGCGGCCGTTTTAGTATAATTCAAGCCGTCAGCAACAAGACGACCCGACTAAACGTACAGCGGGCTTGGTCGATGGCCAGCATCTTGGCTCGCCAGGCAGCGCCATATTTGCGTTGGTACTCCCAGACCTAAAACCAGCCCGAACCAATGAATGAGGCTGAGCTCGACATGCCAACCAACAACAATCGAGCGTTCACAGACACACCTCCACCGTCTTTTCGCGCGCGGCAGGATCCACAGTTGCAAAGACACGAGTTGCTTGAACCTAACTCAACGCGTGCATGGGATCAAAAGCGAGCCACAAAAACCACCACATGAGACTCCCGTGCCCAACAAGACCCAGCACGTTCCTCGCGGACAAAGGCGGAAAAAAGGTGCTCATACCGTTGCGGGGATGCGTCGATGCAATTGCAGTAGGTAATCGAGCAAAACGACAAGTTCTTGCTTGACACGCACTTCGCGCATGGGTAGCAACGTCGCTGAGTTGTCAGACATGATGACTTGCAACCCATCATCACCCTTGTCCATGTAGCCTGCAATCTTTCGGGCATCAACAACCTTGTCGATATCAAAACGGTTCTTCGTCTGGCGCATCAGCACGATGCGCTCGTCCAGCACAAAGATGAAGCGCAGAGCAATTTCATCGCGAGAGCGCGAGCTGCTTAGGCGACCAATGGCCGACGCGTTGCGGATGGGTTCATCGCTGGACACATCTTCCTGAGTGTGACCCACGTATTGATATTGGCCATAGCCCTTGTGAAGGACATCCACGGATGTAAGCATGTGCAAACCAAGTGCTGAGTGGGGTGAATAGGGTGTGACGTGACCATCATAGCGCAGCACACGAGGCTGGCGAAGTCGCGTTACCGCCTTTTCACCGCGAACTTGCCCGTCAATGCCCGCAAAGGTTGAGCTGACCATGTCCACGGCGCCACCAACTGGCTTGGACACTAGGCCTACCAAACCCTTACCCGTTCCGGCGAGCGCACCCACAAATCCCTTCTCCTTGCCTTCTCGCACGGGCGTTGTGACTACACCCGTCAGGCCGCTGTAAAAGCCCTTGCCAAAGCGCTTCAAGCCCGTGGCCACGCCCGAGCCCACGTTGGTGGGCTTTTGTTGCATATCGCGGCGTCGATCACTCTCATACTTGTCATCCATGGTCAGAGTAGCCAGACCAGAGCCAGCTGCACCCGTGACCTTGGACCCGATGCCAGTGATGCCTCCGACCACACCCGTGGTAAGCTTGGTCACGCCTACACCTACGCCCTTGCCAAACTCGCCCGGACCCTTGACCAGGCCCTTGTAAGGCTCGTAGAAGAGACTGGAGAAGCCACCGGCCACCGATGACAGAGCGCCCAGGGGATCGCCAAACATTTCCAGGCCACCAATGCCACGGATGACTCCCTGGGTCAAGGCGAAGCGTATGGCTTGGCGCTTGTACTCCTGGCCAATCTTGGCCGTGAGCTGGTCCATGGTGACAAACAACTCTTGTAGCTGGATGGAATTCAGCTTGAAAGTCACATTGCTCAGGTTGACAAGCGACACGCCCAGGGAACGAAGGAACATGGGCAGCTGATCCAAGACCGGGTCCATGTCTGTTACAGTAATGGCAGCTTGAATTGGATTGAACTGCACATCACGCCACAGCATGGGCAGCGCTGGCTCAGGAGCCGAGGGCTCTGATGATGCCGGTAACAGTTCGGCGATGCTGGCAAATGCCATGGCATCAGCCGCAAAGCGACCATCGGCTCGCACCACCAGAGGCAGCACGCGTACTCCCAGGTGCTCCACAAAGTCTTGACTGCGGCCGACGCCAATGTCTCCACGTCGCAGAACATACGAGGCCGTGATCACGTCCTGGCGTTGTGGGTCATCCTCTGCTAGCATCTCCTGTTCCGCGTAGAGTGGCACGGGGTACTCGGCATCTGGGGCCTGATAGTCAATCTGCAAGCGGCGAATGGATGCGGCGACCTTGAAGTACTCTGTGGTGTCAATGAGGGTGCCACGAATGTCGAGCACCGACAAGTAAGCAAACTCTTTGGGCGCGCTACCAGCCATATCCGCAATAAAAGAGGCGCCAAAGCCAGCAACGTCCAACGTCAGATCAAAGTTGAGCTGTTCCGAGTTGGCATCTGCGTCAACGTCACCCGTCAGTCCAAAAAGCGCGCGCATTTCGGCTACTGTGTCTGCTAACACGTAGCAGACGGTGGCACCCTCTGCTTCAGCAACTGCACACACAAAGATTGTTTGGTCCCGGCCTTGCTCGTCGACAAACGTTAAGCACTTGGTCTGATCGCCAATCACGCGTACTGCCACGGGCTCTGCCTTGCCACGGGTGTGCTTGGCGGAGAACACGAGCTCGGGTTGAGCCAGCACCAGCTTGTCGCGCTTGGCGTCCTTCTGGCGGAAGGGCGCGGGCTCATCAAGGGCATACTTCATGCCCTCATGAGCTCGCAGCACATATTTCTTAGACTCGGTTGCGTCGCAGCCCTGATGAAATTCGATCACATGGCTCGAGTAGTTCTCGATGCGCATAGGCGGGCGGTGTGTTGCCACGGAAAAGGATACAATGTGGCGCAGCATGTGTTCCACACAATTGGCGTCCACGGCCACGAAGGACTCGGTGGGCAGTTTGAGAGTATACGTCGTGTTGAGCGAATCCAGGTGTTGTGTCGCGGAGAAGGCCGCCGACCACGCTACAAGTGCCAAGCGCGCACACAGACACAGGCACAGGCACAGACAAAAGAGGAGAGAATAAACAGGATATAATGCACAGGTTAGCAACATCGAATCGATTGATATGGCGCAAAAAAAATCAAAACAACCATGACGTGAAGACATTGGCGCTTACCTTCGCAACCAGGCACCCGAATTTTCCACAACTGCTTGTGGATCGCCAGGTTCAAGACTCGTTGATCAAAGGGTTGGACCTCGAGAAAGTCCTTGCCGGGCGCTTCGGCAGGGTGCTGGACCATGGCCACTTGAATGGGCATGGGCGTAGTATTTTCAAAGGTCAGCATGGACTCGATGATGAAGCGCTTGCTCAGGTTCATACGATCACCAAACTCCCAGTGAATCGCAAGTTGGGCGTCTGGATGACCCGACTTGTCGCGCCCAGGCCGGAAAAGCTTGATGACAAAGTTAGAAGGCGCCGAAATGAGGGAAAACGTTTCGGATTCCAGGCCCTGGTCCGTCACAAAAAATGTCTTATCTGCGTTGTTCATGGGTGATAGAAGAACAATCTGTTCCTTCATCCTGTCCGCAAAAGTGTTGGCGCGCAGATCGACGGGGCTGCCCAAGGGTAGGATGCCGGTGTTGTCGGCGTCCTCGGTGGACGCACTGAGCGTCAAGCTGGTGCGATCAATAAACTGGAAGGGGCAGAAAGCGGTCAGACACACGGGACCGTGGCTGCCGTGCCGACGCTCAACCTTGAGGCCAAGCTTCAGCAGGTTGGTCTTGTGAGTCATTGGATCCACCCAGTGCACTGTTGCAAAGAGATCAGCCACGTCTTGTTTGTTCTGCTTGTCCAAATCGATGGTGCAGGCTCGTGACCAGAGCTCGGGTGGAATGGGGAGATCCTTGCTGTCCTCCAATAAGACATCTCGGGATGAACTGGCCGCAAAACTCAGACGCACCACAAACTTGCGTTCCGTTGCCAATTGAAGAATGGCTATAGCAATAGCGCAACCGCGGGTGCATGGCCCAGGGAAAACACGTGAGGTCAGGCGAAACGATGCATCAAGGCGGGGCTGGGCTGGTGGGGAGAAGGGAGAGAAAAAAAAAACGCGACGAGCATGGTTTACCCAAATACCAGCTTACATTGTTTCTGTCCAGATCGCAGACCCACGTAATGCTTTGGCACATCCTCCTTTTGCTTGACTACGGCAAGGGCCAGTGGGCAGGGAAGCATGTTTCGCAACGAGACGGGGGCTCGGAGTTCATAGGCCGTTGACAGCTCTCCGTTGTGGGAGTCGAGGTAGCAAGCAAATTGACCCGCACGCTTATCAATCTGATTGTGGCACAGGCAAACAAAGTGTGAGCCGAAAACGCAGACCCGTGGTGTACAGGCCGACGGACAGGCAAAGCGCCAGAGTCGCGCTGACATACCGTGGCGACATCGCCTAGGCGAGGGCAGACAAGAATCTTTTCAGGAGGGACAACGGATTGGTGCAGCTGGCGCTGCTCAACGGACCACTCAATATTTTGCATGGCGGGACGCACGCGAACATCGCCTTCATGACGTAAAACGTGCGCCTCCAAACGCTCGTGCGCATAGCCATGGTACTTTGAGAAGAAGTGGCTCAACTCGCTAAATTTATGGGTGACTTCGTCGCGCTCCGTCGTTACGAGATTATCATCGAGCGACTTGGATGCAAAAGACCAAAGTGCAACCGTCTCGGGCGTGGGATGTGGGTGCACGTAGCCGAGAACCTGATGGCCCGAGGCCAGCAACTCTTCATGTGTCGGAAGCTTTTCTTTCTTCTTGCTCGAGCCATCCGAAGCCTGCTTTTCCGAGGCTTGACGGTTTGTGAAGCACTTGAAGCGCGTGCTGTAGCTGTTGATGCGAGACCCATACAGGGGTATGGTGTCGTCAAGCTGCACGGTAAAGATATAGCCGAGCACGGCCTCAGCCACAAAGGAGCTATCCATACGAACGACCTCAGTGGGGTTGGCAGAGTAAACGTGGCGCTCGCGCTGTGGCGACCAGAAGCGGTACAGCGGTACAATCTGCGAGCGCCCACTGGACGCGTCAAGGGCCCCAAGCGGGGGACTGTAGGCTTCATGCGGATGCAGCAGCTTCATCTCACCATCCGGATACAGGTACGGGTTGCAGCGCACCTCGACAGGAAAGGGGAATCGATTCACAATTTGGAGCGGGGATCGGATGACGATGCGCTTGACCTCGCCTTCAACAAAAACGTGGATAACAACGCGCGCCAAATTACCCTCGATGTCCTCCATAAGATAAGTCGATTCCCCCGTACGGTCGACCGGGATGTTCTCCAGCGGTTTCCACCCCTCCACTTCAACGCTAACGTTGGGAATGGCACGGCGAGCAGCCAAGCACTCGATGGCCTTGAGCAGGGTACGCGGGCCGCTCCGTTGACTTGACTCGTCATCAGGAGATTCGGCATGCTCCTGCTCAAGCTTTTCCTCCAGGGTCAGGTCTTCATTGCCGCGCAACACGGCTTGTTCGTTGTCCAAACGGAAGCTCTTGGGAAGCCGTGGCGCCGTGCGATAACACAAGTACAGGGCTGGCTTGAAGTTGAGGCCCAAGTTGAGCTCGGGCGTGAGGACCTTGAAGCCTTCAGGAATTTCCCGCTCAGAAGTGTACTTCATCTCCACTACAGGGTGTGCTCCAGGCTCACGCTGGTAGTGCAGGTACAAGGCTTGCGCCTTGTTACCCTCGTTCAGGTTCTGGGGCAATGTTTCCCATCCATGGCCCGGCGGCTGTGGATGCACGGTAATGGCCAAGGCAGTGATGGGTGCCCGTGTCGAGTCGCGGGCGTACATCAAGTATGTGGCCATGCCGCCCGACTTTTCGTTCATATTTACTTGCTTGCCATCATACTCGCTGTCCCAGTTTTGAATGGCTCGGTCCGGCGCAGGTAGCTTGGTGTCTGTGGCTCGTGCCAGGCCCACGATATGCAGGTCAGTGATGGGGCGCGGCTCACGGTCTGCCACCAAGGGTTGGTTCAAGAGGTCCTCGGCCGCCGCATACTTGATGCAAAGGTACGGGTTCTCTCCTTTCTTGCGGCCCTGGCTGAGGTTCTTCGGGATAAGGCGGAAGCCGGAAGGAACGGCCTCCTTGAGCGTTCCACCCATGTAGGCCACTGTAATGGCCGTGATGGGCACGCCCGGCTCCCGCGAGAAGGAGATGTACGTGCGGCGGCCGCGCTTAATGCCGTCATTTTCGTTGATATTGACGTCAATGCGTGTGTGCCCTGCCGGGGGAAGTTCGAAGCAGCCGTCTTTGGCGGAAGAGCAGTGCAGCTTGCCGGCATGATGCACGTGAATATCCGTGATGGGTGGCTGGTCGCCCTCTGTTGTATAGGCGAGGTAAAACTTGTAACCACCCGTCCCCTCATTGAGATCTCGCTTAATGACCTTGTACCCCGGTGGCGCGTGTTCTTTCTTGTCCACGCGGAGTACGACTAGATCACGAATGGGGCGACTAGACGCGTTGACCAGCCGTGTGTGAGTCATTTGCTTCACGTCATCAATGTGCGGCTGCGTGGGCATGTCGGAAATGGCAAAGATGCGCACATCGCCATGTGCCACCTGGTTTTTGCGAGCTTGATGCTTGTCGAAGACACTGCTGGGATTGAAGGCCAAAGGCCGACCCGTTGCGTTTTCCAACTCGTACAGACCAATGTCCTTGCCCATCTTGGTGACAACCTTGTCCTCCTCCTCCCAAACGCGGTTCAGGTCGCGCATCCATTCAGTTGAGATTTTAAGCAACCGGTCCACGGCATTGGAGGTGATGGTGGCATCGAGGCGGTCCTCGGCCTCGAAAACCAGGGAAAGGCCACCCGTATGCTCTTGAAAGCGCACGGCGCGGATAAAGGCATTCTTGTTGCTGCCATGACACCGAGTCACGCTCCACTTCCAAAAGCGGCCGGTAGCCGTGAATTTGGGCGAAGCAAACTCGGTCTCTTGGAGGTGGGAGGAGAAGCGGCTGACCATTCGCCAGTTGCCGTCGAGCTTGTCCGCCACGCGCAGCTCGCTCTCCAGCGGTGCGTGGTCGGCCAGCCCCATGGAGGTAAAGAGGAAGGCTTCCAACTTGACGGTCTTGCCCATATCAAAAACGACCCAACCGCGCGAGTGGCGGCTCGTGTGCGCACACCAAAAGGTGTTCTCGCGCTGCTCGGTCATGTGCGCGGCACGACCACCGCGGAAGCCGTTGGCCATTTTGATCTTGTCATGCCCGCTCTCCTTTACCACAACAAACTTGTCTCCCTCAATAAAGGGGGACTCGTCGGCCTTGATGCGTGCCGTGAGCTCATAGGGGCGGGGTCCTTCATCGCGCTCCTCGCACGATAGCAAAAACGGCTCCCACGCGGTATGTTTGGGCTCCAGCACCGCCGCAGCCAGACTCAGGTTGATCGAGCCTGACATGCGCGTCGAAGGGTTGCGGATTGTGCCGGTCACGGCCGTGCTAAAAACGAAAATGGGCGTGCGACGTTCGTGCATGGTGTTGATCAGTGTAATGTCCACAAAAGGTACGTCCACTTGATAGAGTTCGTCCAGGGTGGCAGATGTCCCCTGGGCCACGGCGCTACGCTTGGGCAGATGCCGCTTGAAGTCGACTGCAAAGGGGGCCTGGGTCCAGCTGGGAGCCGGAAAAGAGCCCACGGGCAACGTGGTGCGCTCTGCGCCTGCATCAACCTCCGTGTTGACGGACTCAAAGGGCTTGCTGATGGAAGCAGCAAGGCGCGTCGCCAGCTGAATGTCTGCATAGGCCAGGTTGATACCCAACTCCCCAACCATGAGGCTGGCCTTGACCGAATCAAGTCCCTGGCGGTACTGGGCCGTCACGTCCACAGGACTCAGGACCTCCAATTGAGTGGCCGGGCTGTTCCAAACCTTGGAGATGACGGTCAGGCCCTCAATGGCAGCAAAGGCCGTCGTGACATCGGTATTCTGATGGTAGTCGGCCTTGAGCACAAAGTCCAGAACAAGGCAGCGGGTATCATCCTTGCTGGCGTCTTCAATGAGCATGACAGCAGGATGCTCGATTCGAGCGCGTAGAAAGAGCATGTCGAACATGGTGGGAAACTGCTGGTATTCCGTTTCGACCGCACACATGTCTCGCACCAACGCCCCAGCCGAGGCCACTTGCATGCCAGCAGACGCGTGCTGCGTTTCCTTCTGTGACGCAGCGGCCACGTCATCACCCTTGTCATCAGCAAAAGGGTCGAGGACAAAGCTCAGCACGTCCGCCAAAAAGTCGGGGGCCAGAATCACATCAAAGCCCGTGAACTTGGCGTCCATGTTTGAGCGGGTCGCAGGCCCCAGCTCGACACGAAACAGGCCGGCAATTTCGCTATCCAAAAGCTTGTCTACCACATCCGCGGCTGTTTCAGCACTGTCAAACTCGGCCACAGCTACGTTCTGACCAATGGGGGCTGCCTCCTGACGATAAAAGTGGACAAGCGTGCCCAACTGGCGCAGCTGTTCCAGCCATACGGTGTCAGTAAAATCGACATCCTGTGTTCCGCACAATTTAACGGTGCGACGGTCGGCTTCAACTTTGAATTGCAGACACGGGTCGCGCTCTTCGGCGACAGCGTCATCCTCACCCTGCATCTTGGCGGCGCGCTCTGGGATCAAGTTCTTGCCGTCTTCATCAACAATGCCGGATTGGAAGACGCGGTCAAAGTTGTGGGCCTTGGGGACCTCGCGGCAGTCGCGGAGCAGGATGGCGTCGAGCGAAAGGTCTGCGCTCATTTCCACCTCGTCTTCATTGCTGGTGCTGTAGACTGCCTGAATTTCCGACACGGAAAGACTGGCAAGTTTGTACTTGTCAGCATGCACGTCGGTAAGGTTATCACGGCTGGGTTCGTGATATAGGGTCGCTCGAATCTCTCCCAGTCGGGCAAAGGCGAACACGGTCGAGGGTTGTGGACCGTTGAGACGAGCGTCATAGCGACTGGTCGTGAGCGTGTCTGCGGCAGCAATGTCGCTTGAGCCTTCGGATGTGCCCGAGGCTGAAATGTCCCCAATGCTCTGCACGTCATCTTCGCTGAGCACAGAGAGGGAATCGCTGTCCGCCTCTTCGAGTGCAACTTGCAACACCTCGGCGGAGAGCACGTTGTTGGTGAGCTCGATCACACTGCGATAGTCGGATGTACCAAAGCGAATTTCAAGGCGATCCACCTCAAATCCGAGGATCGAGTCAAAGGCATTGCTAACAGTCTCATCGCGGTGTTTGGACATGAGCGCAAAGCCAAGGATGTCCTTGACGCTCTCGGCAACACTCTCGGTGCTCGTTGCCGTCGACTGGGAGGAGCGGGCGTCTGCGTCCTCGCGCAAAGCCGACGCGGTGGTGTTTGCCTCATCATCATCAGAAGCTCGGTCCAGATTGTCACGCGTCAACTGCAAAAGCGCCTGCAGGTGCACATCAGTCATGACCATGATTGGGTTGCCATCGTTTGTAGAAATGGGTGGAGGGCGGGTCGGGTGCTCCAGCGAGCGGTGGTGTGGCCGAGCCTCCGTGCGGATCATCTGCAAGCCCTGTAGCTCCACCCAGAATGCTTGGTATTCAAAGGTGCCATTGCTCAGGCGATGAATTGGGCAGCTCGAGTCAACGTGGATTTTGCCAAGCTTGAGGACGAAGCATTCTTTGCGCGTAGCCTGAAAGGGCACGATGATTTCCGGGGCGGCGAGTTGCAAGGCTACTTTGAACTTGAAGGGCCCGCTCGGGGCCGCAGCATTGGCCGCTGGGGCCACCGGTGCTGTCGCCACCGTGGCGTCTTGTTCTGCCGACCAGGTGGCTGCGACTCGCTCAGCATCAAAGGAAAGCTTCATGAATGGCTTGATGAAAGTGTTGAGGGAGTTCATGAGCTCCACCATGGCCACGACTTGAATGGTACCTGCAATAGGACAAAATGAACGCAATTCGAGTGGCAAATACGTATGGCGTGAGCCTGCGGTTGGTTATTATGATGCGCCCGTGTTTTGATGTTGGTGCCAGCAGCCATGCAGAGTAAGAAGGGGCGGTTCGCATACCCAGGTGACACTTAATGTCCGCGCCGTAGCCGTCGTGCTTTTCAGGCTGAGAAAAGGTTTGATAATGCAGGCTCAGCAGCTCCTTCTGTTCCTCCATGGTGATAATGTTGGGGTACATGGAATTGGCCACGGAAAAGTCCTCCATCAAGATGCTCTTGAGCGAGGCCTTGACGAGCATCTAAATCATCCATTGGCACACCGCAACTGGTGAGGTCATGGCTCTGGACAAACACGGACTGAAACATGGGCAGACCACAGACACGGACAAGCGGTACACATGTGTGCGGTCAAGTAGCTGTGCATAATACAGACCTCTTCGTTGGTTTGTGTTACATCTGCCCGGACGCCGCGCAGGTCAAACATGACGAGGCGCTTTCGCTCGCTGACCAACGCCACATCAACACCCTCCAGCTTGGCGTGCAGGCGCAAAAACTTGTGGTTGGGCTTGTAAGTTAGCGAATTTGTACGAGCGTTGGTGGCCTCTACCGAGAGCGTGGGTGTGGTATCTGCATACTCAGGCACCGTCACTTGCAGAGCTTGACGCTTTTGCTGCTGTTGGGTAATGAGGGTGATGTCTTTGCCGATTTGCTGCAGCGCCGGAAACGCAGCCTGGGCAAAGTCCATCAAGCCTTCTTGTGCAATGTCCAGCGTGACGTGTGTGATGCGGAGTTGGATATCCATTTCACAACTATCAAAGTCCTTCTCGAACAGCGGATTTGTCATGGGGGACATGGCCAGTTCCACGCTGATGAAGTCGTGCTCGTTTGATGCGTTGGCCACCCACTGGGCGATGGTTTCGGGGCTCGGCTCCTCTTGTCCACCAAAAGTTTCAGCCTGCGTGTACAGGAGATAGTAGGGATCTTGGCCCCGCTCGACGCCAGCGTAGCTGATCATGGCCATACCAGCGATGGAGAGTTTGACGCGCATGTCAAAGGTGCGCATACCCAAATGGGCGTGAATGCGATGAATGTCAAAGCCAAGAAGCTGGCGCACGCCATCGCTCGTGCAGGACGAGTCTGCCTCGGTGTCTTGGGACTTGCTCTTGGCCGTGTGGTGGATGTTAACGCTAACGCGATCAATGCTAAAAGAGCCTGCAAGCTTTTGGATGCGTGCCATTGCACGTCGCTTGGCTTGAATGATGGGCTTGGCGCCACCCTCCAGACTGCTGTGGCGCGAGCACGAGGTGAAAAGCCCAAGTGAGATGACAGTTGGCACGCACATGACCAATGAGCAGGCTTGGCAAAACGAGCAGGCGAGAAGATGCAGACTAAAAGCCACACCATGCACAATTACGTACTAGCGGCGGTTCGAGTGCACATCGCCTGAATCGTGAAGAAGAGCCGGGGCAGCAGCAAGCAAGGGTCAGACAAACGTGGCATCGTGACGACTGCGACGCACCATTGCAATGAGGCGTACCAGAAGAATCGAGCTTGTCCGATGCATCTTGAAAGTCATCTTCTTGATCAGCGGCAACGTCCTCGTCCTGGTCTTGATCCTCATCTTCATCCAGCAAGGCAGCTCGATACTTGTCGGCATCGAGGGCTTGGCGGGAGCTGGGACCTGTGTTGTCCCAGTAGGCCTCATCTGGCGGCGCGGCCTCTTGGGCCAAGCCAGCTTCGTCAATGAAGCGTGTTGTCATGCGCAATGCACCCACGAGCTGCTGATCCACGAGATCAAGACTCAGCTCTGGCAGCTTTGCTGAGAGTTTGAGCTCCGGCAAACGGGTGTCTTGCGTTCGCAGGCATCGCGAGAGCACTGCATCGATATTAATGGGCCGCAACAAACACATGCCGTGCTGTGCTTTTTCTTGAAGAAAGCCGGTGTCCCAAGCAGTCGTGCCGTCCAGAACGGCCAACTGGTCACATGAAAGAAGAGGGCACGCAACACATCCACGGCAGCATGCGAGGCGGCCAAAATAAGAAAGCGCAGTGAGTGAAAGGCGACTGACAGAACTGCACTCGGGAATGACAAGGACGCACCTGTACGCCCGTGAGCTTCGCGCCGTAATCGTCGTACACGGCTTCGCTAAGCTCTTCAAAACTCAGCTTGGTGGCATCGGCAATGGTTTTCAAATTGCTTTTAATCTGCAAGCTGCCTAGATCAAGCACCAGCATGTCAAAGCGCTCGTCGTCCACGCCGATTCGAATGCGGGGGGCCACCGCTTGCACATCAATCTCAAAGTTCTAAAGGCAAGACAAATACATACGCCGGGGCCAGGATGTTGAGTTAATCTGAGCAGCAGCTTCTGCCGCAGGCAAGACGAAGAGGGAGGGCCACGGTTTTAACAAGCGAAATAAAATGGAAAGCATTGACGAACCGAACTGGTGCTGACGGCGTATTCAAGGCCGGCCAAAGTTTGTTCGTGCGCTTCCAGTAGACCAGAAGTGGCGAGCGCAATGAGCTCCCGAGTATCAATGTCACTGGGCGGGGCAAAGAAATTGAGGCTTTCTTGGAGAAAATGGGGCTGGACGTCGATAGCCAGAGGCTGGAGTGAGGCCCGCAAGCTGTTGGCAATCTTGACATCGGTCTTGCGGATTGGATTGGTCTCGTAGGCCAGGGTGAACAAGTTCTGGGCGGTTGTGCTTTCACCCTGTTTTGTAGGCTTGTACAAAAGTGGGTAGAGCTGACCCTTCTCGTTGCGGCAGGCCTGAATGTCAAATGACTTGAGATGCGTATGCACGGCAATGGCCTCGGCGGCTGGGCGTTGGGCAAAGATAGCCGAGAGGCCCGTGAGATTGAGTGCTAGGAGAACGGCCTCCTTGTCCTTGGTATCGTCCAAGAGGCTTAAACGAAACTTCTGAAGTGTGGCTTGCACCCGGGTGGCCTCGTACTCGACTGAGGTGGCCAATTCGTAGTCGGTCTCGGACTCGAGCATCTGCTGAAACTCTTTCCGAATGGCCGACTCATCGGGCTATTTTGGGGTAAACGGAGGAGGCAGAAGAATGACAAGGCAAGAAAATGGTGAGAACGTGTTGCGTGGCATGTGCGAGGTGTACAATATGTCGGCAGGTAAAATTGGATGAGTGAAAAAAAAAAAAAAAAAAAAAAAAAAAAAAAAAAAAAAAAAAAAAAATGAGGCGGGGAGGGGGTAAAGAAGAAGGTACTTGGTGATTGAAACAAGTCGGCACCTACCGCTTCCTCTTCTTGAGGAGAGGACGATCCAAAGAATGAGGTGAAGCTGCCGAAAAATCCGGCTTGCTTCTTTTCTTTGGGAAGACGAGAGCGGGCAATCTTGCGGTACAACAAAACGTCGTCAATGGCCAGGGTACGCTCGAGCTGCCCGAGGGCGCGACTGGTGGGGGTTTGCTTGTCGCTACCCTCACGAACCACCTGTTACATGACCAAGGGTGGTAAATGAGTCACGACAAGAAAATGCACAAGACAGCTTGAGGAGCGAGTGGCTCGCATGGCTGCAACTGAGATGGCGTTAAAAAAGGGGGAAAAAGAGGGGCACGGCATGACTCACGCGCTGGTAGAGTGCAATATACTCCTGTCGCTGCTTGCGGCGCGCTGCCATGTATTGCCAAGTCCAGACCTTGCGGGACGCCCGCCAGTCTCGAACGCTGGCCTCATACGCAAACTTCCACCACTGTTTGGCGTGTCCTCGTACATGGTCCTTGGGTCGAATATCCCGGTAGGTGTGGCGCTTGGTGAGAATGGTCAAGCTGTCAGAAGCTCGCAAGAGACTGAAGTATTGAAGACGACGAAGTGCCAGGCCGATGACAGGGATCTGCGACTTGAAATCAAATTGAGGCGGCGTCGTCCCGTCCTCCTCTTTGATCTGCGTTGAAATGGGAGTGTGTTAGGGCATATGGGCGGGATGAGGCCGAAACGGATCTGAAAAGATTAAAGAAAACAAACCCCGCTCCCCGCCTCCCCCTCAAGGGTTCTAACAAAAGATGTCAAATGAGATACACACCTTTTTGCTGATGCGCAAGTGGCCGTCAAAGCTCAAAGGATCAAGCACAAACTGGTGCTTTTCAACGATAGAGCGATACATTGCTGTTGCAGGACACAAGATGGCGCGTGAGGTAACATGCGTTGTTGCATCTATTGGTTGTAAGAGTCAGAGCACCGGGTGGGTGTACGCAGCATACCAGCGCGGCGGTCGTTGCCTGGGGCATTGAGGAGCAATTTGCGGTCATGCAGTTGCGTATCGACGTAAAGGCCCAGGCCCTTTAGAATGGTGTACTTGGTTGCAGTAGTGCTGGAGGGGGAATGATCACAGCGGTGCCCCTGGTCGTTGACGCTGTAGGCAGCCAGGCGCTCCAGTGTGATGCCAGCAGCAAAGGCCTATCGGATCCCCAGATCGTGGCAAGCAAAGCCAGAGTCACAAGTTTGTAAGAGATCGGGAGAGTTGGTCACGCAATGTGCGTACGCGCGTGCGTGTGTTGCGTACGGGTTGCTGTGGGTGTTCGCGTTCTTCAAAGCGGAGGTGAATGTTCTTGATCTCGATTTGAGCATTGTTGATCAAGGAGAAGATCATTTTAGAGGAGAACATGTCATCGTTGTCATCCTTGCCGCCCTTCTTCTGCTTCATTCTATGATCATACAAAGTGGAATGAGCGGGTAGGTTGAAGCGCATGTGTGCAAATGACTGCGCGCAAAGCACAAGGTGAGTTGGGGCAGGGACGCGAGCCCATAACAAGCGTACCGCTCTTCATACTGCTTGAGGATGGCTTCCTTTGCCGCATCCTGGGCACGTGCTTCGGCCTCGGCATCAAACTAAGCAAGGTAGTCAAAGCTGGTGAGCTGACTGCGCTGACTGCAAGCATCGGGGTGGTGCTCG